GTAGCGAGACGAAATCAGGAATTTATTAAAATTTCAAGTATCTATAAAAGATCAGCTAATCCATCGGTGTCCCGATGCGTGTCCCACGCGAGTCGTGACGATTTTCGTGAATCGAGTGAACGGTGTACACAGGTAGAGCAACAGCATCTGAGGATGTAGCAATTACGTCTGGACTCCTTGCCACAGATGGACGAGACCGCAGCCACGGAACGCCCCTTGCGTTACACATATGTTACAAGTTCCTTTCTGTCCCTCTTCCCTTTCCTCTTCACCCCTTCTCTCTTTGCCGTTCATTCCTTCCTGACCGAATTAATGTTCCTACGGTCAGCACGAAAGACGCTCCTGTGGGAACAGAGAGACGCTGCTTTGTCGGCGTTGATCATCCTGGTCGGAGAACGCTTGGCGAACGACGACGAGACTATGGAGAGAGCAACTAACTGTAAAATGGAGAGGATGAACTTAGCGAACGCGCTAGAGTTAATGAAGACGAGTTTGGTAACGAGCAAGATGAAGTAGACGGGATTAGATTAACCCTTTGCGAAGTTCAACGTCGACGAGTCTCGCTCGACAGCAAATATCGTTCACCCGGTGCAACGACCACCGTAAGTCGGCGTTGTTTATCTAAATTAAATTACTTTAACGTTAGGATAGAAACGTTACACTCGTTTCGTAATTCGCAACATTTTCTTCGTTCGACAGATTCATATATGTTAATTTAGATCGAAAATAGTTCGAGATTTAGCTACAGAGATTCGAGTAAATAGACTTTGATTGTACAGCATTAGACAATGAATGTTCATAGATTGACCAATTGAAAACGAATTAGAAAATAAAATGTTTAAGATGCAACAATGCGAAATGATTATCCGATTTCAGCAAAGCAAACAAATCATCTTAGCTGATTAAATAATTGAATGGTCTCGTCATTTTCTTCAATTGCAGTACAATTTCAAGCGAACGGCGAATTAAAAATAACGAGTGGAACGAATGTTGCAGACGATGCGCATTATGCAAAAATATAGCCTTATTACAAGGAAATTACCGTTTCCAAGTATTGGCAATTTGAACCAAACGCAAAAGGAAGTTACCGGTCAAAAAGAAACTAAAAAACGAGGTACGAAGGAACCAGAATGTTTTTTGTCTCTTAACAGAATGTTGCCCAAAATGTTACAACCTCTCACGCGAGCCATTCTTTACCTGGAACTACGTGAACGAAGTGATAAATAACTGCTACCGACAGTTTTGCACATCTCCGAGAATGGTGGTAGCACGGAAAAAGAAACCGAGAAAAATAAACGAAAATCGATGGCTGTTGCAACACGAATCGCAAAACTGTTTCCAGATATGCTTAAATGTTCCTGACCGACGGTTATAAATTCCAATTCCCTCCGTTCGCGATTCGAACAGGATCAATCGTAAATAGTTGAAATTCTCGGTTGAACAAGTTCCTAATTCTCGAAGTGTCGCGCGTTCGAATCTACTCGAATATTATTTTTGCCATTCGTTCCAGTTTCGCCACTGTCGTGCACATAAGATGATCGTTGGATAACGGTGACCCTGAAGACAGCGAGTAACCCCGTAGCCGTGAACCCTGCTTTCTCGTGTGCCGTTGACAATGGAAAACTACGATCGTCTCGCGGGGTTCTGCACGCGATGACCTCCGCACTTCCTGAGGACACTCGAAGAGGAAACAACGTTCTAACGGGAGCATGCCCCCGCTGCCTTCTCTTCGAAGGCTTCTTCACCCTTTTGTTCCAAGACTATTCGCCTAACGTGCACCTAGACGAATCGAACACGTGAATTGTATCACGAAAGAGTGAAACGATAAAGCCACAACCGGTGAGTTCGAAGCTACCGCGGTCAACCAACGATTAGACTTCTACGCTTGCGAGTGCACTAGAGCGCCTCGGACATGAAAAATGTAGATCAGGCATTATGCGTGACCAAGACTTAATCGAGTACTTGCAAGAATCCGAACTTTTAACGGTGTCCATCTGACGGAGACGGATGAAACTCGTTAGGTCAGTCGAAAGTGCCGCCATTCATCCGAGGGGTCGATGAAAGGGATGAGACAACAGTCACGTGTATCCTGACCGGCACGATCTCGAGATTACAGGCCACACTTCCAGGGCTGACTTCGATGTAAATCAATCTGCCACCAGAAGCTCCCCGAGGGTTTCGTTTAAAAACGTCGGTTTCTCGGCGAAAGGTAAACGGCAATCGATACGAGAGATGTCGGACGTTCCTTAGGAAATTTGCCTTCTTGTTTCTCTTGTACGATAGTCGAGTACCACATTCTCGGGGAAGGGAACGAAATGAGAGGAAAGAAGAACAAATGGCGAGACTACTGTTCGGTGCATCGACCAGAATACGATTGACGACAAAATCGAGTCGGCTATATTTATTGAAAATTACTCCTCGCGTGCGAGATGCACCAAAACGAAATCGACGAAGGTGAAGAGGTATCCGATCCAACGTCTAGTCGTCGCAATTATATTAACTGAATGGCGTTTGTTTTAACGAGACGGAACTTTTGTTAAGCCACCGCAACAGCAAAATCTTACTTTATACAAAATAATACTTTCTGACTTATTGTATTCGTAAGTTATGAAAGGTACATCACGGTCCGATTGCGTTTGTAACAAGCATTCAACGGAACGAGATGAAGGAGACTAGCAAATGTGATCGTTTAACGTAGCAAGCCATCCAATTTTCCACGTTTTAATTCGGACGATGGTCAACGTGTTTCGTCGCATGCCCTAAAGTCGCGTAGTAGAAAGGGGAACATTAATCGCGAACGAATCGCACCGCTCTTGTTTTCGCTTCTACGTTTTCCGCATTGATTAACGTTTATTACGCTGGTCACTTCAAAGTGACTACTCGTTTGGAATGAATAACCGCATTTCTATGACCGTCCGTTACATTTCTAATTACGGACTTTCTATGTGCTTCAAAACGTTTGCAAAACGTTGCCTAACAAGATTTGCGTAGCCATTTTCATTAAACGTGAAACTTTCAGTTAACATGTTATTAATGTTATTTTACGATACTTTGACAAGTGGATTCGAGCTGATAAAATTTTGGGAAGCCCTGCTTTAGGCGATCGTGTCTCCGAGGGAAGAGTATCGGCATATGCGGCTCGCGTGCATCGATGCGACCGTAGGTAGGATCGCAGTAACAGGTGCAGATGCAGAGGAAACGATCGTTAGCTCGACAGCCCGCGGTGCATGTGCGCCTATTATAATTTCTCTCGTAATTAGTCTCCCTCTCTCTTCTTCTCTACGTTTCTCGTATGCGTATTCGGATGCACCTATTATTTGTTTCGTTGCACGCATGCATGGCCCGGCGAACATGTGCCATTCCTTGTCGTTCACGGTCCTCGACACTGTCTGAGGAACGCCGACGATAATGAACACGACCTTGAACTTCCATCCAACTTGTCATTATGTTTCCTCGTATTTCGACCGTGACGTTTCGTAACACGCATAATGTTCCAAAAGCATAATATCTGTGATTTTACAATTGCCACAAACGTTTGGTTGTAACTCTGCTTTAAATCGTTATTTACGGTGTAACAATTTATAGAGGTGGCAACATCGTTGATAGGATAATTGTTCACGCTTGCAACTATTATTATAGCTTTGTAGTAGAATTTATCGGAAGCGTATTATCGAAAACAATGAACGAAATCTACGATGCAGTAACTTCGTGAGAATCCTGGAATTTATGGATCTTGTTCGATAAATCGAGAGATCGATTCACGCGATGAATGTCACAATGGCCTATGAAACGTGTACAACGATCGTATACATGTATCGAGCAAAATTAGAATGATATACGAAGAAATAGTATAAAGTTTTAGAAAGAGGAACGAATATCGTACGTTCAACAAGCTCTCGGCTTCGTTCGAGGATTCAATTCTTAAGATTGGTCAGCGATAATTAGCGTGATGGACAAGGTATTAATGTACGCTTCACAATGAGAACACCCAGAAATGATTAATACGAGTACGGTAGTTAAAAGATTGTCGGAGTAGAATTCGAAAACATCTTTAAAGTAAACGAATGACCATCGTGAAACGGTGCAATGTTCAAATTATGGAACAGATCCAAGACTCCTAGCTGCATATCCGAGAAAGCATCTTGCCAAGGGATTTCACCGAGGGTTGGCTGTTTGCGCCTCTCGACAAATAAGGGGAAGTCGTTATCCCCTAGATGGGAGGAGTAATTAACTGCTTCTACCTCCTTTCTGTCCGCTCCACCTCTCAGCCAGCATCCTTCCTTTCCGGCTTCGGCTTCTACTCGAAGGAGCAGACTTAAGGAGACCCGCTTAGGCTTTCACGGGGTCGTGTCTTCATTATTCACGCTAATCTGCTTTCGCCTCGTGCTTCTGCCGCCTCGATCTCACCCCCTTACTTCTCCATTCTGCGACTTCTCTCTTGGTTATAGTTTCGAATTTATTAGCGACAATTATGCTAATGGAGAATATTTCCATCTGATTTTAAAATGGTAACGGAAGTATACGTTTTCAAAAAGTGCACGGTGTCTCTATGCCCAACAGTGAATTCACGAAAAATCTAAGAATTTTTCGCTCGCATAGCCTCGTAACTAACTGTATAACGAAAGTCTACTGTATTTCCAATTTTGATCGGAGGTCATCTTCGAACGAAACCCCATGGTGCTCGCTAAATTATGATGAATTGTTTTCTCCGTTAACTGGCAACGCCGACAAACATCGGGCCAGGGCACCCCGACTGAGATAATCTTTCACCAATTTTGGCCCACTGATTGATCATCAGAATCTATCAGAGGATTCGTGTGAACGAACAACCGAAATCGAATTTCGATGTTGGCTTCTCCCCGACTTGTACTTTGAATCGAAATCAATGGATGAACATTCCTAAACGCTAAGATCGGACATTAAAGTAATTGGAAATTGAATAAAGGTAAATAAATTCTTTTGCGATATTCTATTCTAAAAAATAAACGTTTAAATTGATCTGCATTTTACAAGAATATTTACTAATTGATAACTATTCACAAATATATACTATGTACTCTGTACTACTTCACAAAAACACATTTGTTTCGTTCTGGTCGGTAAATTTTGTAACAACTGAATTTTTTATGAAGTATAAGTGCGTACGTGATGCTATATTTGTTCGGCCACTTCACATAACATTCGGAACATTCACAAAAGAATTCAATATTCGCATACCGTTATCGCTATCTGTACACAATGTAAATAGAACCGTAAGCTGTAATAATGTTTATAAAATGCCTATAAAAATGCTTTTTATGTTATGTGAATGCTCGAGTTAAGGTAGGGAGCCAATTATTGACAATTAATCCCGTAATGACAACCCATTTTTATGCTAAGATATTTCAGTTAAAAACAGTACAGTCTAAGACGGAATTAAAAACATTCAAAGAAAATGCTCTCTTTTTTCTATTAAGCAAACAAAATAATGTTTAATAATAACAGACGATTACAGTTCATCGCCAAATAACCGAAATAGGAAAAGCAAATTTCAAATTATGTTCTTTAAAATACCGAATAAATTGTTAAAAAATTTTGTACAATTGTCCGTGCAAGAATATATTCGCGTATGGAAAAATCAATCTGAAATATGACTATTGCAAAATTTATATATTCCTTGTATGCAACATATTCGAAGTATTCCTAAAGCATCATTTCTTGTACACCAACATAGCATCAAATTACATACGTTATAATATAAATGCACAACTTATGAATACAATTTGTATGTTGGTTTATCATTTTATTGTGGTAAGTTTAGCAAAAAGTTTTGACCTGGTGGCAAATAAGCTACTTGACGAGATCTGGACAGATTATGAGCTATATCTTCAGCGGCTTCGATTCTTCTAAGTTCTACCAGACCATCTCCAGCTTCCCCAAGAGATTTTGCTATTAAACTAGCAGCCTGTGCATCACCTTCCGCGGTAATAATAGCTGCCTTCTTGTGCTGTTCAGCTTTTTCTACTAAGAAACGTGCTTTTTCCGCTTCTTGTTGCGCTACTTGTTTCATTTCTACAGCCTGTGTAAACTCTTTGCCAAATGTTAAATGAGTCTGAAACAAAATAATTGTTTAGAATTTGCGAAACAAAATTGTATAGAAAAATAAAACAATTGTCATAGACTTACAATGGAAATGTCGTCTAAAATTAATCCAAACTGTTGAGCTCTGTCCGTTAAATCTTCCCTAACTTTCTGGGAGACAATTTCCCTCTGTGTAATTAATTCTCCTGCATCGAATTGAGCAACTACTGCTTTCAACACTTCGTTCGTAATAGATGGTAGTACTCTTTCGTCATAATCTATACCAAGAATGGTATAGATTTTTGGCAAAGAATCTGGTATAGGTCTAAAAAGAATACGAAGCGTAATATTTACATTTTGCAGATCTTTACTTCCTGTGACCACAGGAACATTTCTTGGCCTGGATCTAATATCGAATACAATTGGTTTTTGCACCCATGGAATGAAAAAATGTGTTCCTTCTCCTACAATTTGATTTTTTATACCGGTAAATCTGTCGAAAATAACAGCTCTATGGCCTCCATCGACTGAAACAATCAACCATAAACAATTATAGAATGAACTTAACTTATATTATTGGAGAAGAAATGATATACTAACCATTGTACAAAGCACTTTGTACAACGCCTCCAGTCATAGCCAGACCTAAACCGAATTGACTTAATCGATTTAGAAAGTTTGCCATTTTTTAATTAGATATCTGAAACAAAAAATAAAAGTATGAATCCATTCTGATACGTTGTTATAACACTGTAACATTGCACCATTGTTAACAGAGAAACAACTCTAACCTAAAACTGTAACTCTAACACCAATTAGATCTAGAAATCATATGCTTTAATTGTGTATTGCAGATTGACACTTACAACTATTAAAAATACATAATTGTAAAATAAAACTAACGTAAACAATTTATATATTTAAAAGTTTTATAAATGTCCGGCCGGCGAGAGCATCTAGCGATCTTACGGATAAAACATGGTTATAGTAAATTTATCAACTGGCATTGCCATTTTAATAAAATAAAATTGGTGCAATTTAGAATAACACAATGATTTCTTACGTAATAAATTCCGCCTTTGAAGAATTCACTTTTCTTCTCGCGTGCTACACCAAAATCGATAAAAGGAAAATGGAGTTCAATCTCAGCCGTAACCACAGTGGAAGATTAACAGGAAATCGACAGTAGCGCCGCTTAAACTGCAGTCTTTAGGAGGTAATTTCAAGCTCCTTCGCATAAATAAAAAGTACTAAAATGTGAAAGAATGCACTACTCACACAAATGAATTATAGTACTACGATAAAATATAATTTATTAAATTGTATAACTTGGTTATTAGCGTAAGAAATAAAACTTAAAGTACTTCACTATCAAAAGTATTCAACTTCTAAGTTTCGATGTTTCTAGAATATGTGAATTGTACGTATGTTGCTCTATGTATAGAACAACAGAGAGTACATATATTAAAATTTAAAAAGATAAGTAATAATAAAAAAAAAGTAATCACGCCCCCGGGTGGGCTCGAACCACCAACCTTTCGGTTAACAGCCGAACGCGCTAGCCGATTGCGCCACGGAGGCGCTGAAACATCTCGCGTTTAATGTAATATAACAGGAAAATAATAAATTTTACTTTCAAGCAATTCTACACATATTTATAATTTCACTTAAAAATATAAAACAGCAATCGAACATCTAGCCCTCTTTCCCATTTCGTCTATTCCGTTTTTTTACACTAATTCTTACAAGTATCATGAAGGTACAGAATATAGTATAATCATAGGTTACTAAAAATAAAACTTTATTTCTTTACTTTATATCTTTACATCATCGTTTTACATGAATATAGGAAAAATAGAATCTCTTGTTCGTTAAAAAGAAATGAATACCTACGGATGATAAGACTAATCGAATGATTTAACGCTAATTGGATTAAAGATGCGAAGCGGTATGTACTTGTGGAAGTACTGCATGACTATGATAGCTGCCATCCATATGACCGCACATACCGGACAGTTGACCCTGGAACTCGGTATCAAGAACAACTGCAATGCTGTTTGGTGTATGGAAAACTATCATTGGTATCTGTTGCGACTGAAGTATCAGATGTTTGTAATTCTTGGTCAACCTGCGTAACAGAAACATTATTATTATTCGTATCTTATCACTACATGTTGCGTAACAGAACATTTGTGTACGACAAACTTACTTCATCGCGTATGAATCTGGTTGATTCTCTGGTACCATTACACCTTTCTCGTGATTGTTCACGACTTTCTTATCTACAGTGACCACAACTCCTGAATCAGTGTTAGCGATCTCCATTTCGTGTTCACCAACGAAAATCTTCACGTCTATCTTTGAATTTTTCACGAGTTTCGCGTGAATAGCAAAGGAGTGATCTACGTGATCACCAACTAACAGTGTCCATTCTTCGGGCACAACGAACGGAATTGTGCCATTATCGAAGGTCATCATAACTCGGGGATACATGGTACACAGCTCTGTAAAAATCATTGCGGTTGTGTTGAACGAAATTACAGAACGCCTAAATAAAATAATTGTAAAAGCTTACTGGTGTAACTGTTTACGAATTTGTACAAAGATGGAAGTGCGAAATGGGTGTTATCCATCCACATGTCCCAAACCGGGTGACCCCATGGTAATTGGACTAAATGATGTTCATTTTTGGGTGTAACTACAACTAAATCGAGGGCAGATGACAAGACTGGATATTCTAATTTAACGTTCATGCTTCTAGAGTCTATTTGATGTCCAGACACAATGCTCGCCGCATCTTGCAAAAGACGTACCACTGCTGGCAGATGCGCCTGAAGTAGAAACAACGATTAAATTTTTGATCAACGCGAAAAAATAAAAGTCGATGTTTACCTTTTTCGATATTATTTCCACCATATATTTTCTTAAAGTAGAGTGCAATATAGCTTCGTGTACGCATTCTGATGTTTTAGGGATATGTGTACCCTCTGGGTTTAACAACGATTGCTGAATATGTTTCATACAGGTACCATTTATTCTATCATTCTGCATGTGTTTCCTCTGCTCTTCCGACAGTTCACCTTTTATCAGTACCGTGAGATCCAGATCGTCATGTACGCACTTTTCCTCTTCTGTCTCTCCCATGCTGATCTTCACCTTCGTATTGGTTTCCTTCTTAATCATATCGACCTCCAGTATGTCCGATTGAATGACTGGATAATCTTTTTGTCCGTCAACGCATATCTGAAGGAATGAAATAACATAGATTGTAATAGATTATGATGAATCCACTTAATCCTGAATCTGACATAATTAATTCTAAGTACCTTCAAAGCTTTCTCTCCTCGTCCGTGGCGAGTGATAATGGCTTTTACAGTATTATTTACGTGCCCTTGATTCATTATAATGTTAAGATTCGCGTCCCATTGTCGCACTGCTTCGTTGGTACTAGCTGCTTTAGCGCTCATGCTTCCACGAATATCGATTCTTTTGCTGTTTAGAAAATGCATCACCTCATCGTCATAGTCTTGTACACTAATTTTTCCGGTTAAATCGACCTGGTTGCACAAGAAGAAACACAGTAAGGTAGAAGAAGAATATCTATGCAGTCTTAAGTAGATTACCAAACTTCGAACTTACGGCTAAAGTAGGATAGACGATACTTGGCTCGATTTTGATCATATTCGAACAAACTGCGTCGTGCGACGAAATCATACTGTTTATCACCTTCTGGCGTGCTGTCATGATTGCTTGTACCAGTACGCTGTCCCTACACAGTAGAAGCAACTTTTACCCCTGCTCTATTTCTTACTAGAATTTCTGAAAGTACTTACATAGTGTTCATGTGCTTATTAGATAATACAACTTGAAGCAATTCACTCATCGGCATAACAGGAGTAAGATTGTTCTCGCAATGATATGTCACCATATTGAATTGAAGACCCATATCCTTGGAATCGATGCTATTTTTGTACACTTTCTTATCCACGTTGTTAGTAATGACCGCGTAATGATGACATTCGGGGCAACTGTTTTTCAAAGCATTCGTCTCGTCGTCAGTGACCGTCACGAAGCTCTTCGCTGATGCCGACATTCCAGCAACGGAGAATTCAGTGGCGGGCAATCTTGGTAACGTGACTTTCACGCTCTTCGTGTCCGGCGAGTAAGCAATGGTTATGTCGATGGGTACAAGTACATCGAGTACCGATGTTTTACGAACAGAGTGCCAAGTATCGGCAATAGGGTTGTAGACCGATAGAGCGTATTCACCGTGTTTCCAACCTGTGTATTTCATTTGTAATTTCAAGTTTTCAACGTTGTTTTGTTTCGTCACAACAGCGTGGATTTTCAACGAGTCGAACGAGGGCATTTTAGTGAACAAAACGGTCGGCAATCCACAATCGGTAGGTACTTGCATCTCAAAGTAATCGTCGTAAAATACGTGCTCCAAATTGACGTTATCCAGATGATTGTTGATCAGATTCTTCCAGTCTTTCAATTTGCTCAGCATATTCTTCCAATTGTCTTTGCCGGCATGGAACGTCATAACGACGTGATTGTTCAACGTTAACACGATATTGATGTCGACGTGTTTGCTACTCGGTACGTCTTTGGCCGCCTCGATCAACATGCTTCTCACCTTTTCATTGGTAACTGTATGTACAGTTTTGCCTAACACCTCCTTCTTTACATCTTTTATAATATCGGACAAACCTACGGCGTTCCAATGAATCTAGAATAAAAAGACAAAAATAAACGAATAATGGTATTACTCTCCAAGATGAGCTAGGTCTCATGTTACTTTGCAACTTTAATGTTACTTACTCCCCATTTGTTAGAAGGTTTGCGAGCAACGGTCATAAAATGTTCGATGCCACCAACTTCCGGCAGTCCACTCAGTTCGTTGAGAATCATAGAGACCTTCACAGCTTCACCGTAACCGAATTTCTCGTCTACGTAATCGAAATGGAGTTTGCTCGACAATGGACCGGGCACGTGCCTTATTTTCGTAAATCTTAAGATCTTCTTAGCCATTTCGCGAGCTGGCGTCAAGCAAGGATCCACCGAGTTTGCTATTCCTTTAAGGGTACTGACATGGTAATTATACAGGTGTTCGTTCTTCTCGTATACCATGAACCAGTACATGTTCATCATACGTGCCGTGTGAGGGAATTGATGCATCAGAACATCGTAAGCGATGATTCTGATCGCAACCGGAGCCGTAGTATTGGCAAGAACTGGCCAGAGTAAGTTGTGGGCGTAATTCGGGTGATCGGCAACCACTTTATTGATAGCCCAAATAGCTTGTCCACGAATTTGTACACCAACGGAAGGTAAAGAATCATGTTTAATAATCGGTTCCAGACGCCTCAAAATATTCTTCAGGCCTACGTTTTTCATGGCCATCATATACACTGTTTTCATTTCCATCGTTGGTTCGGCTGTAAAATTAATCGATAAATAAATTACTTATCCATTTTCCGTTTAAGAGCGTAAAACATATTCGATAAAAGTTACACCTAGATACCTTCGATATGATCCATGAAATGATCCAAGCATCGGTTCAAAAGTGGATCGTTGACTTCGTCGTGTTCGTGCATAAAGGTTCTGTGAATCAACGTGGCAAAGGACAATATGCTAGCTTTTCTAACTTCGAGAGATACGGGATCAGAAAGGTGGAGGAGAATTTCCATCTGTGAAAGTAATTCGTGCGAAGGATGCTTCACGTGCATGGGAAGAACAGCCAACATCATGATGGCTTTATGGTCTGGAACGATCTTTCTCTGAATTACGTTTCGCGTGAACAGACAGGAAGCAGTTGTTCCTACATTTGGTACTATTCCTAGGAAAATATTTCTGAAACAGACGATTACAATTTTTAAAACAATCTTTCACCCAATCTTAACCCGATTCTTTAATTAATATCTGTTCCGTTATTACGTACTTCATCGTAATTTCTTTGCTGTCCTTAGCATCCTTCAATTCATTATACACATGCTCGAAGGATACCACGTTCATAAAGTTCATAACGTGCATGATCCTGTTAATTGTTTGGCCATGTTTCCAGTCTGCTGATTTTTCCTTGATCTGATTCTCTTTTAGATAGTCAGCAGCTTCGCTCAACATGTTTTTTACTTTCAAAACAACCTGATCTTGTACAACAACGTGTCTACCATGAGTCACGTCTACGCCAGCTTCGTGTGCGTATTCCATTTCGGGTTTGGAGAAGGTGAAATTATGAATAATTGGGACATTATAGAAATTGACTGAGCGTAATTGAACGTTACTTTCGGGAACAACACTCTCGAGAACAAATGTTTGACTGCAAAAAATGAAATATAATTAGACGTATTTATTTATGTTTTTAACGGTTAACGAGAACTTAAGATTCTTCTATTACTTTGTAAGAATATAATGAGCGTCGGCGTTAGCGTGGAATGGCATGTAATTGATGACTCCATGAGAAACTAATTTTCTAATAAGGATCGCATTGCCTTGGTCCTCGACCTCGAAGACGCGTCTGCTAGCAGTGGTCATACCGTTCTACGTAAAAACGAAAAAGGATAACTAACCGCTTTAACTAAAACTCAAATTGAAACAACGAAAAAGAACGAAATTTTAAATACCTCTTCCGGCATATGACATTTCTCGTGTTCAACATGATTATGTACATGATGGGAGAAATGCGTACAGTTCTCTGGTTCATGCATCTTGGTGACCATGAAGACGTTATGACTCGTTGGGTCATCCATGTGTTTTGGATGCACGGTATAAGCCACTTGACAGTCGCCGTGAATGGTATTCTAGTGGTAACAACCAAAGAGAACATTAACCAAAAACCTAGGATGTTCCCATCAGTCGTTACCTACCTCATGACTGATGAAACTGTGCGGTGTTACGGGAGATTGAACTTGGATATTGACCAAATTCAGCTGCAGCGCGGACGCAATGGCTTTTTTAATATTCACCGACCAATGACTCTCATTTGGTACCACTTTTATACCTTGCAGCTGAAACCGTATACATAGAACTTATCTTTTTAATAAAACCTACGTAGGCGATTTTGTAATACTTACATGTCCATTTTCATCGTAGACCATCAAGAAAGGATTCTGAATATGCTTAGCAACATCTGCGATGGGGTGCATATTGTTGATATGTTGAAAATGTTTCATGTGTCCATTGTACAAGCCGTGCTTAACATCACTCATGACGACGTAATAAGCGTTCCTCAGGGTCGGGTCACTACTGTGCACCACCTTCATAACACACTCCATACCGAATTTGGACCCAAATTCATCCGGTTGCATTGCACCGGCTTTTACGTCCACGGTATACTTGTACGTTGCCACTTTTCCATGAGGAAAGTGAGCTACGAGAAATTTTCTTATGAAGTTACTTTCGCGACAATTTTTTTCTTTACATTAGATCATCTCGACAATCGGCACGGTGTTTCACTTTCTTCGATGCAAAATAAGAAGCGCTTTACATTAATACCAATTAATGTCTTAGAGACGACATATTCAATAATGACTGTAAAAAACAGTACGAACTATTGAGATCATCTAATGCTTCATCTTTCTAATTACCTGGCACGGCGATAGCCGTAGCTACGATGCCCAACAGCACTGAAAATTAAGAAATTCTTTATGGTATCGTACATTTTCTACTGGAATTGTATTGCAATTTTCAATTATTATTCGTTTTGAGAATGATAGACGCTGCTTTCATTTTTCTTGCCACTTACCGATTAGGGTATTCATTATACTGTAACCCTTGCAGAAAGACTGGTAACCGTACTGGCCAACATCCTCCTTTTATAAGACGGACAACCGAGTAAGTCCCGGTAGAAGAAGAAAGTGCAAGAGTAACGATAACCCTTTACCATAGGGTGTTATGAACTGGCTATACGGGTGTAATCAATGCAAAAGATAACCCGTTCGGCCATCGTCGCAAACTCACTTTTACTACGTGAATGGATTTTATAAATACCTGACAACTTGCACTTTTTCCAGGTTTTCGTAATAGCTGATAATTTAAAGACATAATAAAGCTGTTCATTACGTTTTCATTCTGTTTCTTTTTGCTAATAAGTGAATAGCATCGTATCGAATAAAGAAACAAGATTTACATAACAAAAGGTTTCTGTGTAGATTTCGTTGCACTTCTCGTTAAAATACTCTTCGCTACGATAATGCTGCAGTCCGATTAATTGTTCTATCGTTCAATCATGACCTTACAATATAATCGATGATATACTCGCTTTGTTATTAATTTTTTGTACAATAAAAAGTGTGACAGAGAGATTGGAAACTTTTCTCGAGATTGCTTTTGTACGTGTAAATTATTGTGTTGCAAGCATTGTTGATTAACGGGTTTAATTAACTTTATCGTTAAAGTTCAGAAAAGCAACGAATCGGGAACGATTGCATGTTTACCATCGTTCGCAACAATCAACGTTAATGCAAACGTATGTTTACAACGATAATATTATTTAACATAAACAATTTAGCGTTATTTATATACTACTTACGTCTTTTTCTCACGTATATTCACTGGAATTTCTTGAAATCAAGTTTTTCATTTTCACCGATAAAGTTAGTATAACCAAATGTTATAAATTATTGCGTCATTTTGCAAAACATCGATAAACGTATCATGAATATTTTCGATTCGGGGGTTAACGATTATACGAAAATCAATTTTCCACTTATATTTTTATTCGATAGTTTAACACGATAAGTTCGTTCTATAATTGTATAAAAGGTGTGATGTTAAAAAATGAAAGTCATCGAATAACATGTATGAAAATATAATGTAACCTTTATATTATACTAAAATTATTGCAAAGTCAATCACGTAATCACCCAAATATGTTTACAACGTAAAATTGATGATAAATAAGGACTTTGGTTAGGTCAAGATGCCGACCGTGTTTTCGACGATACTTAATCATCCATAAAAGAAAATACACATTTAAATAGGAAATAACAAACAAAATTCAGGGATAATCAATATATTTGATCTTAATTGTTGTACATGTTTATAGTAATAAATTAATACCATTTTCCCTGAAGCGATAATACTACATACTTTTCATAAAATATTCTTTTAACTTTTCCAATGCTTTACTTCGATGGGAGATTTGATTCTTCACTTCTTTCGGTAGTTCTGCGTAAGTTTTATCGCTGTCCAAGGGTTGGAAACAAGGATCCCAGCCAAAATCCCGTGGTCCTCGAGGACTTACGATGGTTCCTTGAGTTCGACCTTGAAACAATATAACTGGATCTTGTGGTTCTCCGGCACAATAAGCAAATGTGCAAACCGCCTCCGCCGTTTTGTCGTCCCAACCGTGCAACATTCGATGCAGTCCTTCTGGTCCTAATTTTTCTAAGAACCATTTAATGTAAGGTCCAGGCAAACCCTTCATCGCGTTAAAACATAAACATGTGTCCTCTATAATCACTGGGCCTTTTATTAAATTCGCCGCTGCTCGACATTTATCTCGGCAAATATCATCGATCTCTCCTTGATACTCCGGAAGATCTATCTTCTGGCTGGTAATCTCTCGTGGAAAATTCTTCCCCAAGATAGCTATGAATTCCTCCAGTTTCTTTGCGTTTCCGGTTACAAACACTATTGGTTTCGACATACTGCAAACAACAAATTTAAACATTGTATTGTTAGGAGTATAAAAAAAAGTTGATTTTAATCTTCATAATATTTTTGTTTTAATAATATATGGGAGTACGAGAAATGAGAAATAAACAGGAATATTATCTTAGTTTCGCGCCATTCACTTTGTATCGTAGATTGGTAAGCCTGCCGCTGGTAGCAAAGTAGTAAGGACATGGAAGGTGTTGATGTTTTCTCAAATGAATTTTATCAAATTAATATTAAAATAAAACTGTACATATACTCATTTTAATCTTGTCAGCATTATAATTACTCAAGTTAACTAAAAATTATCCTTATTATCCTCATAAAAACTACCTTTCGCTGATTTCGGTGAACGTCAAAAGAAAATCATGCACTTGTGGAACAATGTGTTTACTCGACAGTGCTGCTAACTTTAATTTTCTATCCAGATTGAAATGGGAGGAAAATTATTTTTATAAATATTTAAATGGAATTTAAGTCTTCACCGTTCCATTATTACTATATAAAATGTTAGAAATTAGAAAAAATCTTCATCATGCGAAAATGAAATGATTATTTAATCCAAAAATGACCGAAAAAATGTTCTAATATAGAATTTATGTTACAATTTTATAAGCTTTATTAGACTACTTGTCGATTTTCATTTTTTCTTGTAACAAAAGTATGATTCATAAATTTTCATGAATGTGATTCTCGTTATTGTTTACTTTCATACAATTGAAAGGGTCTTTCGTGAATAACTATGGAATGACTCCGATGTTGTTTCTATTGTGGCTACGTTCATTGAGGAGAGCCAATAATCTGCTCAAAAATGCCGAGTCAAGAGGTTGTAACTACGAAAGTAGTGGTTCACCCTTTAGTTTTACTAAGTGTGGTGGATCACTTTAATCGTATGGGAAAAATTGGTAATCAAAAAAGAGTCGTAGGAGTTTTATTGGGATGTTGGAGAGCCAAAGGTGTCCTGGACGTGTCAAACAGTTTTGCAGGTTAGAATCACTATGTTAGCATCTATCTAACGCTTCTGTAAGTGAAAACTTTCAACTACTTTTCTCTTATGCTTTGTAGTGCCCTTTGATGAGGATGATAAAGACAAAACTGTGTGGTTCCTTGATCATGATTACCTAGAAAACATGTATGGAATGTTCAAAAAAGTTAACGGTAAGCATCAATGAATATAACTAGTACAGTGGAGAGATAAAATTTGATCTTATTTTTGATAAATTTTAGCGCGTGAAAAAGTGGTAGGTTGGTATCATACCGGGCCCAAATTACATCAAAATGACGTTGCAATTAATGAACTCATTAGGAGATACTGTCCTAATTCAGTTTTGGTCATCATCGATGCCAAACCTAAAGATCTTGGTCTTCCAACAGAAGCATATCAAGCCGTTGAAGAAGTTCACGATGTACGATTTATATTTTGATGTATATGTTATCGATTTCTGAACTTGTTATAATTACAATAATATTATTTGTAGGATGGATCGCCAACATCTAAAACTTTTGAACATATCCCTAGTGAAATTGGTGCAGAGGAGGCAGAGGAAGTAGGTGTAGAGCATTTACTAAGGGATATTAAAGATACCACAGTTGGTACGCTTAGTCAGAGAATTACGAACCAACTACTCGGTTTGAAAGGTCTACACGAACAAATTAGAGAAATTAGAGATTACTTGCTTCAAGTTGGTAGTGGTAAATTGCCTATAAATCATCAAATTGTTTATCAACTTCAGGACATTTTTAACCTGCTACCCGATATGACGCAATCCACTTTCGTCGATTCACTGTACGTGAAAACAAACGATCAAATGTTAGTCGTATATCTCGCGGCACTTGTTAGATCTATAGTGGCTTTACATAATTTGATTAATAATAAGTTAACTAACCGTGATGCGGAGAAAAAGGAAACAGATAAAAAAGAAACGAAAAAAGATGAGAAGAAAGAAGAAGAGAAAAAAGATGAAAAAGAGAAAACAAAAGCTAAAAGTCAGTGAATAAAGTGAAATTAAGATTTTGTGTGATCGAGACTGTTAATCTTGCAACAGTTCACAAAACTTATAAAGTTTGTTTATACATGTACAAATGTATTTTGTGCTATCAGATGGTCCGCATTTCAAGTTAACACCAAAAATAAACATTAAAATTATCTCATTTTTAAAGTGTTATAACACCGCACGAGTTCAAGTAAAGGGTACATGCATTAAGTTAACATTATTCAGTAATCGTTCACGATTTATTCGAACGTACAAAAATTTTCTATGAAACATCGGGGATACCATGTAAGATTCTCGTATACATAACGTATACATTTTAGATATTACAGACATATTTTCTAAAGGATTTAAGCTTTCATAAGTAATACATTGCGTTATTAATAAAAACAAAACAAGAAAAAAAAATTCGATCATTTGAATTCATGGTTTCGTTCATTTTTCGTGACCACACAAAGTGCGTGAACGAGTTGCACACTATGGATTGTGCATTCGTTTGTAACTAACGTATATATTTGGGTGTAAGACAGACTTTTCTCGGTTAAGGGTAAGGGGAGGGGTTTCCCACCACTTGGTTTTGGTCTTCAGAAAATTTAAGGAAAATTCAAGAAAAATCTAGAGAGAGTTAAGGGAATCAGAAAAACCAGGGAGATTCAAAAAAGGCTTAACCTAGGACCCCTTATTTTTACACGCAACGCGGGTGGTGGGATATTTCTTCCTCTTCGCTTCCTGTTAACTAAATTACACGTAATTATACCTATTTCTACCTTAAATTCAAAATTATTCGAACCAGTAGACATCACTCGATTCATCTTCCTCGAAGTACTTATAGAATTCTTTAATTTCTCTGCTTTATAAAAAGTTAATCGATATTTTTTTCATAAATTAAGAAGGATTCAAGTATTACTTATTTAATAAATTAATTGTTAAAAACACTTAATCATCCATGTTGTTTCTTTTATATAACGAGATACAATGTAAAACACATTTGACCTAATAAAGTCCATCGGCGCGCACTTGTCTTCGCACCTTCGCTGTAAGCTATACCCACGAAGGGTTCTAAATTGGTGTCATTGTAATGCTGAAAGTACCAATTGAACGAACTGTCTTCGATGACCGCAGCATTTTCATTCGAAGATCCGTCTTTGTTGAAGACCTCTTCGTTTTTCACGTTTCGTTGAACAGCTTCAGCCACGGATTTCTGTTTCTCCTCTTCAGCAGAGAGACCGATGCGTGGCGAAGGGACTTTCGTGATCGTTGGTCTACCTAATGGACGCAAATTTGGTACAGTAGAAGGTACTTGACCCCCTGGTACCAAAAACGCCGAAAGAGCCGATGCTTCTGTTTCCCGATGAAACTGAGACGTTGAAGAGGATTTCTTCTTATTTTCGAGAGAAGTTGAATGCAAAGTCGAACGTTCTGTCGTAACCACGCTCGAATCAACTATAATCAAGAATAAACCTTATACATAATTGATTAATGTTATATAATTTGCAAGAGAACGACAATTTTTACCCATTGATTCGTTTCGAAGATTTATCGTGGAAGTTTCTTGAACTTCGACTACTTCAGAATCCCAGAATGCGTTTTTCTCGTTTTTCAACACGTTCGTCGATGTTTCTATAATCGTATCGCCTTTCGTAGTTTCTACCATCGTTCTTGGACTGGTCCATACTATTCTACTTGCGACCTCTTGCGATTTCTCGTCGAGTTTATTCGATTTCTGATTCACCTCCAAATGCTCGTCATCGTGAATCTCCAAAGACGCCGATGTCTCGTTCGCCTCTTGAGGTGATTCATCCGCGGCAGTGCTCGAATCCGATGTTTTCGTTGTATTTGTAACAGAAGAACTGTGAAGGAAAATTGGATTTAAAAAGGTCTATTTAAGTAAATTTATGTATCCACTTACCTGCTTTTTTTGCTTCCAAACATTTGCCACCGAGAGTCAAGATGATCAGTTGCTACCGTGGACAGTTCTTCCCTTTCTTTAAATTCTACCTTGGGTTTGCTCGTTTTAGAATGAGTCCTTTCAACCTTTACTACTGTACCATTTCCGCTTTTCCATCGTTTCCGTTCTTCTTGCGCGATACTTGAATTCTGAAGCCTCAAACTTTCGTTTTTAACCTGTCGTTCGTGAGTTAATCTTGGATCAGGAATGGGAACAAAGCCACCCTGTCCTCGAGGTAGAGGAATAAAGCCACCCCTGTGGATTTCTGGTTCCGTGGGTGGGAACGTTCTGTAACGTCCTCTCCCGGGTCTTTCGGAGGAATTTTTTCTCTCCGATTTTCTTCCTGAATTTCCCCAAAGATTGAAATTCAAATTAGGTAAAGGTACGCCGAAAAACGTGAAACCCGAACTGCTGGGAGAAGGAGGCATCGAAGGATTCTTCTTCGTCGGAATAGTATTGTTTATTTGCGATTGAACTTGTTCCGTTGTTTGAATCACTTTCACGCTTTCCGTTGGTATAGAGATCGCGGTTTGAGTAGTAGTTGATATATTTGCTACTTCGTCAGGATATTCGTCGAGATAATCAAAATCTTGAGAGTTAGGAGGATTTTGTGCAGATGGTTCTTTTATGTTCATGCGAAGCGGTACCATTTCCGTTGCTCCAAATACTGAGAATATATTAATAAAGTATTTTAAAGTTTAAAAAATATATTGATAGAAGATTTTTTACTTACTGGAGGAGGAAACAGGGTAGGGCGCAGAATCGATCATTTCAGTTTCACAACCAGGGTGAATCGGGTCAATTTGTCGTTCTCGTTGGCAGTCCTGACGCGACAGTCGAATTTCTTTGAACAAAGATCCATCGGCACATCTTGGTCCCTCGGAAGATGCTTGCTGCAACCATCCTCGCAACCACAACATTCCACACGAGCATGAAAGTGGATTTCCTTTTAGAGTTCAAATTGAAAAGGATTTTGTTATACGTATATAGTAATTTCATAATGTTACTACACTTTGATTGCTGTGAAAGTTTCACTAACAATATAGCAAAATCGGTATGGCGATTAAAATGTTCGATAATTAATTTTTAATTACATACATTTTAGAAAAGAAAGTAAAATCTATTACCATCGATATCCAAGACAGCAATATTCGATCGCAATCTTTTAAACGCCGTTTCCGAGACGGAAGCCATTCGATTGCTTCTCAAGCTAAGAACTCGAAGTCTCGGCATTTGATCGAAAGGCGAACCTTGAATGGTACAAATCCGATTGTTGTCCATCTACGATCAAAACGAGGGAAAACCATATGTAAAACGATCCGCTATCTTCTTAATTAACGATGCAGCTATACGAATAATTGCTCCGCTAGCATAACGAGTGGCCTCGCACCACGGTTCGTGAAGAAGTTTCACTCTCGACGAGAAAGTATTCCTCGTTATTACTAAAGACCATCCCCCCACCGTTTGTTTCTCCTTTTTCGTTCCACGTTTGCGTTTAGTACGGTCATTACGAAAAATCGACTTTTTATCGCGATTATTCCATTCATTATCATCCTCGAACACGAAACAATTAGCAAAATAACTGATTCTATGTTAACTTTCGTTACGTTATTATATCAGAACTAAAATTATTAAAATTGATCTGTTTTCTAATTTCACTTGACACTTCAATTAAAAATCGCTTTACTCACTTTCAATTCAACTAACCACTCCATCGACGCAAGACTATTGCTGGACACTCTGGACAACTGGTTGTTGCTCAAATCAAGGACCTCCAAAGAACGCAGATTCTCCAGGCCCACGTAATCCAACGCTGGCAAGTGGTTATGACTCAGATTAAGGAAGAGAAGGTGCGGCACGTTAATGAACGCGTTGTTCGAAATTTCCTGGATCTGATTTTCCTGAAGTTCTGCACTTTGAAGTAACGGCAACTCGGTGAAAGCTCCACTAGGAATTATCTGTACATTTTCAAACAACGATACACGTTTGATCGTTCACTTTCCAACTCGAACAAAAACCAACCGATAATCTACCTGCAATCGATTCTTTCCTAGTCTGATGGCTTGCAGCTCCGGCAAAGCTTTGATAGCATTCCTCTCGATGATTACCAGGTCATTGTTTTCCAGATCGATCAGTGTTAATCGCGGTAAACCATTGAATGCACCCTCGCGTAACTCACGGATACGATTTCTGACGAGTTTTAGCTCGAGCAAGGCCGACAAGCTGCTCAGTGTTTCCGGCGACAGGATGTTCAGCTTGTTGAAGCTCAAGTCGAGTACCTGAAGAGCTGTTAAGCCGTGCAACGATCCGGGTAACTCGGTCAAAGTGTTGTGCGACGCGTACAGTTCACGAAGGTCCCTGCAATTAACGTCGTTTTCTACCTTTGACAATGTATCGTTAACAGAAACAACGATTTACGATGTAGACGAATTAATTTGTCGTGATCGTGTCGTTTGACAAAATCGGTTTTCTAAAATAAAAATCAAGCGTTCGAAACATCTTAAATCTAATAGAAAATAAACGACACGACAGGATAATGCCGTTCAGAAAGGGACATTCGACGCGAGCACGAAACACTTTCTAGGTACCATTTTCTAGTGACGCAATCGAATAATCGCGAGTGAAACTTCTTTTTTACTGGCGTGCTAACGTGTAGAAGAGAATGCTTCTTCCTCTTAAACTTTTAAAGCAAAATATCAAACGAATATTTCGGTCAGTTTTTCGATAAACCTTACCTGGTGCTGGAAAAGGTTGCATGAGGTATCTGAGCAAGATTATTTCTGCTTAGATCCACTCTTTGTAATCGAATATTTTCCTGGAATATATCGGGTCTCAGAACCTCCAATCGATTACCTCGCAGACTCAAGTCCATCAACGATCTGAGCGGTTTGAAGCTTCTTCCGTGTATAGTCACCAATCGATTATACTTCAGGTCCAGTTGTTCCAGTCTGGACAATCCATCGAATGCTCCATCCTCCAGAATTCGTAGAGAGTTAAAGCCAACGTTTAGCTTCCTCAAATTTGGTAAATCAGCCAGGCTACCTGGTGGTATCCTCTCGATCCCGTTTGCGCTGAGATCCAACGATCTCAGAACAGGCAGATCGAGATCTTGAGAGGAGATATCTGGTAGAACAATGATACGATTCATAGGCATATGCAAATGTTCTATGTTTCTTGGAAGGCCAGGAACTATCTCGATCATTCGGTTCCAACCAACGTCCAACTCGTACAGGTTGTTCAAATGATGAAAAGTTAGAGGATGAAGAACGGAAAGTGCATTTCCAGAGATGTTCACGTGTTCCAGAGCTGGTGTAGCCAGAAACGACTCAGGTTGTACGAGACCAATCGCGTTTCCGCTCAGATCTAAGCGTCTCAAACTCGGCAGATTCGCTAACAGACGAGGCTCCACGCGGCGTAAGTAGTTTTCTGAAAGATCCAGCCCCTGAAATTGTGACACGTAGCGAATTGCAAGATGAACAGGGTCAAGTTAGGCGACTCACTTTCACTTGATAACAATCATGTAAGAATTCGTTTCCCTTAAAAAGCATCAGGATACAAGATTACAATCGTCAGAAGACTTACTTTCAACGCTGGCAAGTTCCAGAACGGTGCCTCCAATAAGTTCGACAAAGAATTATTCTTCAATCTGAGTTCCCTAAGAGCGGGCATCGCGGTGAAGGTCTCCCTCTGCAGAAATGCTATTCTATTGTGATCAAGGTGAAGCCTCTCCAAAGTAAGATGACCCCTCAACGCTCCGAATGGTATCGTCTCGATTTGATTGTAACTAACGTCAAGAAATTTCAACCTAGGCAAAGCTTCCATGATCGATCTCAGCTCAGCCACGTGACTCAGGTCGTTGTCGATCAACCACATCTCCTCTAGGCTGTTTCCAGGTCTGCGCGGGAAAAATTCCGGATGCACGCGATGTATTAGATTGTGATTAAGATCCAGGGTCTTCAAGGCTGGCATTCTTTGAAACGCCCCAGCGAACACCTCGGTAATATGATTCCTCGACAAATACAGGCGAGAAAGAACAGGTAGATCTACGAAGGCTTCTTCGTTCAGACGATTGATACGATTTCGATCTAGCCGAATCACCGAAAGCATAGGCAAGTCCACGCAAGCTCGTCCGATCATTCCAGCGTCCACTATCGAATTTCCAGCTAAAGAAATTTCTTTCAGTTCTGGTAGATCTATGAACGTCCGTGGATGAACCCAATGCACACCGCAATCGGTCACGTTAACTAGTTCCAGCCGCGGCAGAGAACGGAAGAGACCCGCCTCTAAACGTATCAGACGAGGACTACCGAACACGTGGAGCTGTTCCAAATTGGGCAAATCTCGAAAATTGCTTGGTGTCAATTCTAATAAAGCTGGAGAATTGATCTGCAGGTAACGAAGTTTTGGGAGTCCAGAGAACTTGGGAAGTTTCTTCATCACTCTACTCTGCAAGGTAACCGCCTCGAGGCCTTGCAAATTTTCCAGACTGTCTATCGGCAGGGAACGTAAATCAGGTTCGACGATGAACAATTCCAATAGGGAATCGTGGAGGCCTTCTAACCATCCGGATGACACTCTTTCCAGACGATTATTCCGGAGCATTAAACGGAGAACGCGCAAAGTAGCGAAAACTTTGCCAGGTAGACTAGGTAGATTATTGTTTTCCAAGATCAACTCGTCCACCGGTCGATCCAAGTAATGGCTCACTGCCTTTAGTCCTTCGAGGACTTTCGGTAACTCGCTATGACTACACCTAGCAGGAGAAACATCAAATGAATGATTTGCTCTTTCAATTTCTTCATGATTTTTGGTCACTTGCCATATTTGAATCTCCATATCACGAGTGGAACATCTGCAAGGTAGAATCCTTTCCTGAGCAGGGCAACCGTACTCCGAACTAAGCTGGCCACTGGTACCGATAGAAAACAATACCAGAAACCAGCTGGTCAAGAGGAGGCCTCCAACCCCCAGTGATTTAATCATCGCGCATTTGAACCTTGGTCTAAGACCTCGAACACCTGTTCCCCATTTTCTGCAACAATTATTTCATCTACAAGATTTGTAAAGCATAACAAGTGTCATTTCCATCGTGAGCGTGTGTATTAGATGTTGAAATCTCCTTAGACATTATGGTGTTTTTTTGCGTAAATCACGAAACGCACGTGTACGTATTTGCTGGTTACACGTCACGGTCGTAGACGACAAAATTAATGCTTCGTACCGTAAGCTAAGCTAAAGACCGCTAGGACAATCTTACCCGTAATAATTACCGTCGCCCGAGGCTACGCGACTCGATGAAAGGTTTGTATTAACTTCAAGCGACAGAGTAGATTCTAGATTATTAAGTATCTATGGGTTTCAGCAAAAGATTCTGAGTATTCATTTTTCAATTCTGAAATTTTGAAAATTGTTGCTGATCAATTTCAAGTTTGCAACCTGCGACCTTTGTAACTTAAAGTGTCTGTATTATCATAAAAGTCGTAAATTTTTCCAAAATTCACGATCATCGCAGTAACAAAAGGAATCAAGTGATATGAATCGATCGAGAAGAGGAAAGTCTTTTTAGTCTATCAGATAGAACGAAAACAAAGGTGTTCTTTCGAAGTGGTGTCACGGGTGACCACGTGTGTTTCATAACCCATCTTCCGTAAGTAAGAACAATCGGACTGGCCTGGATAGTCAGTCAAACATAAAGAATGTCGATATCCTGTGATCGTTAATGGAAGAAACTTAAAAGAATCTTCTGTGCGTACAAATTTAAAGCGCACACATTTAAGGGAACGCATCAGAATCAAGGAATACAGGTCGCTGCACTCACGTGACTGTATTTGCATCGCGTTGAACCAGTTTGCTCGATTGTTAGCAAATCGTTCAGTGAACTTTCAAATTGGTCTGTTCGATTCTGTTCGAAATCAAAACGGATCTTTGCGTGTTTCGAGCCAATTCTACAAACGGTTGACATAATCGTTTGTCCGTGTACATTTGTTCACTAAAGTTTCCACAATGCACACAATCGATATACAGGTGCAGCAAGTATTTCTATTGTGACCACCATGATCGAACCACAGTCGATCGTATATGATTTCAGCGTTTAATCGATATGCGCCTTCTTTTCTATACATCTTACTCTATGCTTCAGTAGAGAAACTAAAAACTGAACCGAGTTTAACCACACGTGATTATGCAACTTTGAATCTTATTTGCATTTCAAATACCAGAAGAAGTTGAAATCAGTTAGAATGATGATATGTGAATGAAACTTATTCGACACTCTAAGAAAAGAAATCACTTTTTAACATAATTCTATTTCCTGCAATATGTTTTTGCAACGTTTGATATTATTTTATACTATTATTTTATATAAGACCATTACTTGTCAATCCATCCTGATATAGTGCTTTCAATCTAATCAGCTGTTCAACACTTTGGTATAATAAAATCATTAGTACCTTAGTGTTGCGTCGTTGACAATCTTCGCTTATTCCCCGATGTGACTGTCACTTGTTTAAGACCGCGTAACAAACGGATAAAACGAGACACTGTTCATTCACGAAAAACAGGGAACAACGCGTCACGTTGACTATGTTGGTCAAAGAAAACAGTCAGAGGCACCGTGCTCTCGTTTACGAACAATCACTAACTAAATACACGAAGGAGTTGGATGGTAAAGCGTGCCGATGCGCAAAGTCGCGAGGGAAGAAGATGACTGTGGCGTGGGTGATGGCGAGCAGGACGAAAAAGAGGATTGCGAAGTGCCTGTGTCCAACTACCGTGAACACATGCTTCCAGGAAATTCTTCCCTTTCCACAAAATCTTTCCGTACAAATAAATTAGTGATGATGACAAATTTTCAACTTGCGATTCCTTTGCTCGAAATCCTTTCGAAACATAACACTGATAAACAACTAAGATATTTGTTATATTAAAACGACTAAGGGTCGTTCTTTTAATTATTCGAACCTCAAAATAGAACTATGGTCGTAGACAATATTTCTTCCGTGATTTGTAACATAAAGTATTTTTGTTTTTACTGCTATTCTAGAATCAAATTTCACCTGCAATGACGACGATTTCCATCATTTTTCTATGAACGTGCAGTTAAATATGTTCCAGTCCAGATGACACGAGTTCCGTCTCTCGTTATCCGCCTTTTTTCGAGATGCAGAAAACGCACATTTCTCAACGAACGGTTCCATCAAGATGGCAACTTGTTAAATCTTGACCAGACTAATTAAATAAAAAAGGACACACGTGTAATTGTCGTAAAAATATGAATTAATAAAGAGAACAATTTTTATCGCATAATTTATACATCATCCTATTTTACCTGGACCTTGTCTTTCATAGTTCAAGCGAGAGATTGATTGTAGACAAAAAAAGAAAAAGAATGTTCTATCTATCAGTATTCATACTAAAAGAGTAAATCAGTGATTTGTTAATCACGAGATGAAGAAATTTTGCATACTGGTCGTGCTATCCAATGTGAATAATGAGTTACACCTTTTTCGAAAAAATAACGGAATATTAACGATTTAACGTATAACAGTTTTTTTTTTTTTTTAATTTTATCATACATTGATACATTCTGAATAATTTAATGTAAATGTGTTGATGGCGATGCAAATTAATAGAAATTGTCTACGAGATTAAAATATCGTCGTGTGGATCTACACATGTTTGCTTCAGTCAGATTCATCAGTAAGTTGAAGGTCCTGCATTTATTGGCGCACAGACACAAGGCAGACAAGAAATCTGTGTTGTAACTGGTTTTCAGAATCATTCTATACCGCCATCTTATAATGTACTATAATATCGTAGGATAATGCCTGTTTACAGCAGTTGTTGTATCGAAGCTGTGGCGTGAAAGGATTGATCATTTTGCCATCGACCGACGGCAATCACGTTCTTTCTTCGCAACATTGAAATTCAAACATTCCCATGATTTGGATTTAAATATCAAAAAGAAAATAAATTTTTCGTCGCTTCCGAAACGAACTACCATTTTTCTTTTTCATTGATATTTATATATCCAATAAAGATGTGGTGCAGAAAAATTTCTCAAATTTCGCGACGATGTTCGAGAAGCACTTTAACATGTTACTACACCACGGACAAGCGTTCTTGCCAGGAAACTGCAGAAAACAACGATGGTGCATCGTGCAACAACAGAAAACCACCAAGAATACTTATTACAGGTAAGTTTCGGCAACTTTCGACAACTTAGGTATAATTTCTTTGTTCTAAAATCGATTAGGATTTTGTTTTTTCAAATCAGCGTTTTATGAGCTATGGATAAAAACAATCTGTCTTTAGACAATCCTGAATTTACATAAAATTACAATATTCATTGCTTACCTGTTTCGACTGAAAAAAGATACTTGTTTATCCCATTACCGATTTAATTATCAATAGCGTCGTGTTTATACAGTAATAACATTCTTCTAAGGTGGTCTTGGACAATTGGGCACGGAGTGCGCGAAACTTCTTCGGAAAAACTATGGAAATGAAAATGTGATACTTTCTGATATAATTAAACCGACCGAAGAGTGTTTGTCGAGTGGACCTTTCATCTTTGCAGATATTCTTGATTTCAAGGGTCTTCAAAAAATCGTAGTGAATTACAGAATCGATTGGTTGATCCATTTCAGTGCTCTTCTTAGTGCAGTTGGGGAACAGAATGTTCCTCTTGCTGTGAGGGTCAATATAGAAGGTAAAATAGTTCTCCAATTACTGACTTAAAACTTACGACAATTTTTTAATAAGCTTTCTGGAATTACTCTCAAGTGAAAATGGAATATTGCGAGAAGTGAATTTGTCGTTAGGACAATAATTACGCGAAGAAAGTGCGTTAGAGAAAGTGACTTTCTTTGTTTCTTACCTTTGAAGGAATTCTTATAAAGAACATAACACGAAATCGTTTTTTAAAATAAGTAATTTTTTATTAGGAATGCACAATGTTATTGAACTGGCAAGACAATATAAACTCAGGATATTTATCCCATCGACGATCGGAGCGTTTGGTCCTGATTCACCAAGGAATCCTACTCCAAATGTAACCATCCAACGGCCACGAACAATTTATGGCGTTAGTAAAGTACATGCTGAATTGTTAGGTGAATACTATCATCATAGATTTGGCCTTGACTTCCGGTGCCTTCGATTTCCAGGGGTAATTAGCAACGATCCACCAGGTGGTGGTACCACAGGTATTTTATGTTGATTAAAAAAATTATGCTACGTTAACTTTTTATTCACTGAGTGAAATTTTATTAAAAAAATATCTTCTTGTACCAAGAAACAGCGCACGTTCCGATGTTGATTAGAGTAAAAGTATAATGTCATCCTTCGTTAAGGACAATAGTATTAGTAAATTGTTGAGTATTTCTTGATCACGAGCCGTGAGACGGCTTTTTGCGTTTCCCTTAACTCATGATCCGTAAATCTTAGAGCGGCAAGTTCTTAGACAAACAATAAATTAATTGTATAATATTCTATTTCAGATTATGCTGTTGCAGTCTTCCACGAAGGTTTGTTAAATAAGAGATACGAGTGTTACTTGGAACCTTACACTAGATTGCCGATGATATACATAGAAGATTGTTTGTCTGCACTTTTTCAATTCCTGAATGCACCAAATGAACTATTGCAACGAAGAGTTTATAACGTTACTGCGATGAGTTTCACTCCCGAGGAATTGTTCAACGAACTTAAGAAACATGTACCTGACCTAAAGATTACGTACAAACCAGATGGACGGCAATATATTGGTTAGTTAACGAAAAACATATCGAGTAGCAAATAAGAAGATATTATATTATTTCAATTTCAGCTGAAAATTGGCCACAAGTATTTGACGATAGCGAAGCGCGACGAGATTGGGGATGGAAACACAAATATAATTTAGAAAAAGTTGTGGAATCGATGATACGCGATGTTAATACAAACTTTTTAAGTAAACGATCACTAAAAGAAGTTAATAGTTATGTATAATGCACAAATATTTAGGTAATGATTCAAGTAAATTAGACGAGTTAAGAAAATATTATTTATTTTATAATAAAAGTATTATCAAATAATGTTGCGAAAGATTTGACAGTTTATTTGTTTCACATATCTTCATTCATTAACTCATCCATTATTTCATCCATATTTAGATCATCTATTATCTTCTTTGGTACTGTTTTAGCTGCTCGCGTTGGTGTCCTGTTCACTGCTTCTACATTTCTAGATGGTGTAGAAATTCTGTCCATATTTCTTGATGATTTATTAGCACTTCTTGAAGGTGTAGCAATAGGCCTTTCTATTCTTTTAGGAGTATTACTCATTCTATCACTTAATCTTCCGCTTTGCGAAAATCTGTCTTTGCTTTCCATTTCTGCAAACAATTGGATACAAATTAAAATAATCTACCTTTTTCTGCAATCAAGTATTAAATTACCTGTAGGATCGTTCTTCGATAATATAGCACGGCTTTCCGTAAAGTATACATTTGGATGCATAATAGCTTTACTTGGCAACTGATTGTGTGTAATCCTAAAATATGTGGCGCACGCAATAAGATAATCACCACTCTTGGCAAAATCTGCTATTTCATTAACACCTGAAAAAAAATAATCCACCTCAACCTCAATATTTTGAAATTAAAATGATACTCTTACCTGGCGCTGGAATACCACAACTGTATAATTTTTGTTTTAATGATTCTTGGTCCATGTGTCTAAATGGACAACCGTGATATTCCCCAGCATTCACTGCGGAAGATATAATTTTTGAACACCCGAGTGGAGTGTAGTTTGTCTGTTTTCCTTCTTTGCCATAAATATGTCTTATTCCATAAGCATATTGTTTTCCAAATTTATCTGGATCTATTTTCTTTGAAAACTCTGTTTTCCAAAACTGCAAAGAATCCTCCAACGACACACCAATACCTTTTAGAAATAAACCGTATTGAATACGTCCAGCATTTCTAAGATGATGTTGAGTCTTGAGTGTGTCGTGTAATGTTCTCATGCACAAAGGATACGATGTTTTTGATAACTGAAAATTATTTAACATTGCACAAAAGTTATAGTATAAGAAAAAAAATTAGTTACCTCATCCAATTTTTGTACAGGCGTAGTAGTTGAAGACCAAACAACAGGTGCTGTATTAGAAGAACAACCACGTAGAGAACTGAGGAAAGATGTTAGCCTCTCGTCACCGTATAAATTTGCGGAACAAAATCTTGATTCCTATATAATGCAGATATAGTTGAATGAATGGATTATTTACTTTTTTATTAAATGCATCATTAAATGAAAACTTACTGGCATACTATCAAGTAAAATTGACCTAAAATATGTAACAAACACAGATATCAAATCTGGTTGTGGAATGAACGCTGTTCCTTTAGAAAGATAAACTCTACGTAATCTAACCAAATCTGCAACCTTTTGAAAAGGCACTTTATAGAATTCAACTGTATCAACATTTACATTCCTGCCTGTAGACGAACGAAGTTCTTCCCGAATTTCATTTTTTTCATTTTGTGTCAACTTAAAAAAACAAAAAAATAAATGAGATGTAATAAATACCAAACTTATGTTCGTTTCATCTTATTCCTTACTTGTGTACAGTTTATATCATGCATGCTGAGTAATTTTTCTATCCCTTCTTTATCTAATGAAGTAAATCTTAATTTAAACCATTCAACTTCCTGATTAACGAACCATGTTCGATGGTCTGTTTCAAAGCAGAATGCTAATCTCATTATAAAATGTGATATGTGATCCTTTCTTCTATATTGTAATTCTATTTCATTAGATGACTTGCATCCTTTTGCATACAGAAGATGTGCAAAATATTTAAGGCCATCTTTGTTTAATATTGTACATAAATACTGTTTACGGTCATCAAATGATTTTAAGTCTGCTCTCGAAGCAAGGCTTTCAACATGTTGTAGGACTATGAAAAACCATTATACACAAAAAATAAAAAATTACTGAACAATAATCTAATTGTTTTAATCGAAGCCACTTACGTTTCAATCTCTCCATACCCAATTGTTGAAATTCTACATATGGAATTTCGCCTGAAGGAGGAAAATTATACACTTGTAAGTCATGTGGATAAATATCTTTTAAGTTACTACTTTCAATATTAACTGTACGTCGCCGTCTTTTAGTATATTCCATTTTGTAAAATCAAATATTCTTCTTTTTAAGATACTTCAACGTTACACTGTTTTAGCGTGGTTTGTTAAAAAAGAAACAAAACAATGATGATTAACAAAAGGCAACAATTCGTATGCAGCCATTGCCTCACCACTGAGTTTCCCGCGCTTTTCTCCCGCTTGGATTTGAACATATCGCTCGGTACAAAAGGAAATGCGATATATGTCATTATGCAAATGCATTATAAATCGTCGGATTTTTAAGTGTTCGAAGGTAAAGAAAATTCTGTGTACATAATAAAATTTTATTTACGCAATAAGGACATAAAATAAACATTAAAAATGCACAAGATTTCCCCTTCAAAAAACATTGTATATTGCTACAAAGATAAATTAAGAAGTAGACTTTTTATTTAGGGAAGTCACGTAGACATTTCTTAATTGTATAGGAGACAAATGACCATCGATGCTATCAAAATTTTGAACGAACAATTCTGTCACTTGAAGGTTGAAAAATTCCATTCTATTTTTTACAGCTGACATATCTCGAAATTCGCGAATAGTGATATTCCTCCTGTCGATAACTTGCTCGTCAACTAAATTAACTTTGCTGGGATACATTGAATCTCCTGGCAGAACATGTACCTTTCCATCCTGCAGTTCCACCTTTACCTAATTAAATTATTTAGAATCAAAACATACTTATAGGCATATTTTAAAATACATACCGGTAGATTCAATAGCACTCCCATTTTGCTACGATCAATCGCGAAATCTAATAAATTGTCTATACTTTCAAATTTCGCAATCCTAGCAATTTCGTATTGTTGCGGAGGTGGCAGTACAATATCTGAATTAGAAAATATGTAACCACCTGGCTGATCCCACTAAATAACGTGTAAGATGTTAATGATACGCACAAGATCACCCAAGTGATACATTGATACAAACAAATTTTACTTTTGAATCCTCTATTTCCGTTGCTTCTATAGCAGAATTTACATTGTTTGGTAAGCAGGCCAAATAAAAAACGGTATCAAAACGTCTTCCGGTATAATAAGTTGGTGTCAGCCAATTGCTCCATTCGTAAAGAGCCCATAAATCCGGGTAACAATTGAAGTTTTCGCACAATGAATAAAACTCTGTTGCATCGTTGTGTACTTTCGTTTGCCATCTGCCCAATTCGTTTTCAGAAACTAAGTAAAATGTACACGTTTAATGATGTTACGTTGTATTAAAAGATAGAAGTATTAAACAATTATTCAAATTACTCTTAACGTGTTGTGCCCAACCAAAATTATCGGTACTTTCCTTTGATTGCTTGCAAATTAATACACCGCATTCTTCGAAAGTTTCACGAATTGCGGTGATACGCAATGATATTTCTTTTGGCAATTCGTTTGGTCTTGATTTGAAAATTGAAGGACGCACGCTCGTGTTTGGTGTTAAGGACGAGAAACTGTTAACATCGAAACCAAAGGCGGAGAAAAGATTGTGCCATTTCAAATCAGCGTCCGACGGATGCACCACGCCACCAGGGAACACGTAAGTACTTGGCATAAATTTCGAATTCTGATGTCGTTTTAAGCACAACAAATTGTAGTCATACTGAAACTATATGTTATTTTTAAAACTCTCCCCAGCTGTCTGATAAAAGAACTGAATGGTTTTCAATTACAGAGTTTAAATTTTCGCGCGTTTTTTAGGTTGTAATGTATAGGCTTCGATTATATTAATAGCAACGCTATCCACTAATTTTAAATGTAATTAAATGGTTACGTTAGTTTACTATGAACAATTGCAAATGTCTATAAGATATTTTGATACATTCATCTTAAATAAAAAGCATAAGCGAGTATAATGTATAATACTTACGTTTGAGGGTAAAGAAGGACGAATATATTTTTGTGTATGACGCGCTGCTAAGATTAAACTAGCAGATTCTTTCCAAGCTTTCATGTTTTGATATCGAAGAAACTGGTTTAGGTTAAAATAATATTTTAAAATTTTTAAGTTGGTTTCGTATATATAGTAAACATTAAGGTTATGATTCCACTGTTTCTAACCTGACTAAATTGCGATACATGGTTTTTTACCTACCTAAATGTACAACTACGCAATACGATTCATATAATTTACTATGAAATTATATTTAACGAGCGAACGATTATCGATATCTTTCGAGTTTTGTTATGTATGAATTACATATTTTGCATTTTACAGTACCAGTGTTTTAAAATACTATTATATAATACAGGTTCAACAGGTTTTCTTATCAGTAAATGAAAGAAAATTTTTAATTATATATATACATTTTTTATTAAATACACGTGTGACTGTTTTATATAATATTTTGTAATATGTTATGTACAATCTTATGGATCAATGATCTGTTCAGGAGTAAAATGTTATGGACATTTTATATACACAATTACAGTTATTACACTAATAAATTATGTGAATGATACAATACAATATGTCATATCATACATTTTAGGAACTATATCAGACATGTTGCAAAGGTTATGTCATGTATCTTTTTCATTTTTCTCTTTATCAGTTGCTGCATTCAACAATTCATACAACTGATACACTTGTTCATCTCTAAACTTATCCAGATCTTCTGGTTTTAAATTTTTACCTAATGGTTTTGACATATGAGGTCCTTTCAATCCAAGTTGCTTAGTAAGCATTATTGCATACTCCTGCAATAAAATAAACAATGTTCGTAATTCAATTTAGTAATATTAAAATTTAAATGCAGAAAAGAAAATTATGTCTTTATGTTGTATTTCTTAGGTTTAGTCTAATATACATGCCAACTGAAAACTAACCTAAATTTTCAGAAGACAAGTTCTAATAAAATGTATAAAATCAAGTACTTACTGTCCATTCATTTAGAAAGGTCGATGCTGTAGCCTCATCACAGTTCTTATGTCTTTTAAATTCGTCTCGAACATAACTATTTCCTAAAGGTTGAACTTCAGCCGGTAATCCGCGATGTAACCTCAAAATTGTTTTGTACAATATTCTAACACGTTGTACATGAGAGAAAGTAGTCATAATTTCTTTATTAAAAGTATGTACAATATATATACATATCAAATAATGATTTTTATCTAATACATTTTACGATACGATAATTTAAATATCAAATTAAATGGGATACGTATCGTTAGAAATCAACACTAGTTTTTATACGTATTTGTACATCCATTTGTAATCTTTGACATATGTACTCTTATGATCATATAATATGCGATAAAAATAATTACATTTACATAACTCGAATACCGGTATAAATGTGTTTATATTTCTATAATGAATATGCAACGCGATATTCGTTTCAATTTCAAGAACGTATATTTATGTTCACGCAGCCATTGTATAGGTAACCTTTTGCAGAATTCATAAATTTAAATCATTGCATTATCCAACATGTAATTTAATTTTCCATGACATAAATTTTAGTTGACAGGGTATGGAATACATAAACCTGTATGATATGAAATTTATTCGGAATTAACCAGCGGTGAATGAGTCCTTTCTCGCAACATGATCAAGCGCGTGTTCAAGCGTAGAAAATCACATTTTAATCGTGATTTTCACCATTTTTGTTACGGCACTGGCAATGACGTAGAATGCACGCAAGCGCGGATCATCGATGCCAGAAACGGGCGTAAAAAGGTGGCCGGTTGTTCGACGCGGGTGTTGTTCAGCCGATGTTAGTCGCCGCTCGGAGCGTGCAGTGTATCGGTGTCAGTACGAACGGACGCGCCACGATTTATCGTGGTAAACGTCTCGTAGGCGGTTTATGAATCATATGATTCACCGATCAACGATATTTTCACTCGGTGTTACGTGTTGAACAAAATCGAATCGAAAGCAGAAACGAAAAACTGCTCACGATTCAGTGAAAGTGGCAGACGGAGCGGTGACAGCGAGATTTCGCGCGTGTTCAAGCCGGGAGGCGCATGTTGCTCTCCTCAAGGTTCGATCGAGTCGAAGACAGCTGGGAGAGAATTGTTCGGGAGGGATGCTTTGAAATACAGACACAGTTATTTCATTCAAGGTGAGCTTCTTTTTATCGTTGCTCCTCTAGTCGGCTGACTTCGTCCGAAAAAGAGATAGTATACGTCTGACCCTTTAACCCTTGGCAGCTTAAATCGTTTACGTATGATTTAGAAGAAAAGAAGAATTCTGAATTACAGTCTGATTATTAGCTTGTTATTGTTTTATCTTGTACAGGTTTTACTGCAACCCTTGGTGCATTAATTCGATAGAAGAAGATAAATGTATCGCAGAGAGTTTGCATTGTATATGTAATGTAATCGAATCATCAATAAAAGAAACTTTTTAAGAGCTTCAATATTACATTACTAATAGCGGCCGGTCACTAATAGTCATCATAGTCGTATCATGCCGTGCCACACATGCCCCCTTCCACTGCGGCAGTCACCGTGTTAAGTTCAAAATGCATTATAAATAATAAAATAAGATTTAATAGATAAATATTTTGTTTGATCAATTTTTTTTACAATAAGTTGCTTACACTTTGATCTTTGATTACACGTGAATAATATTTGGTAATCAGTAGGATTTTCTCGGATAACGTTGATAATATTACGTACATACTATATCATAATCTTAAGTAAATTTAAAGGTTTCCGTAAAATTTCTGAGAAGAACATCACAGTTCAATTATCGGAACATTATTAAGTGCATGTAAGAGCACTGTTATAGTTAACGGATCTCGAATCGCGAGAGGAGAATATCAATCGTTCAACATTCTTCAAATACTTTCTTTATGTTAAAATTTTAGAAAATCTTTTAAATCCGTTCGTCCTAATTCCTCCGCTCTATTTTCTTGAAATTCGTATCGTCACGATTTTCGTGACCCGGAAACTAGTTTGGTTCTACGCGAGAGGCGGAAGAATACGAGTCGCTCGTAAAATCGCTGACATTTCGTGAAGTTTACGATTTCTTTGACAAGAAAGCTTTAACAACAGACATTACCAAAATATCTTGTACGAATTTTGACTTTATTTGAAATACATATTGAAGGTTCTTTTTATGACCACGTATTAAATTTTTAATTTATCTGAAAACAACCATTTTGATCGATTGTTCATTTACACATGTAACGAGTCGAAGTTGGGAACCAAAGAATCATGTGTCATTTACGAATATGCATGAGACCTCAACGCAATAGGTGATAATACATTCCCTATCATAAATACGATATGTTTGCATATTTACTCACTACGAATTGATTAAAGTTGTCGTGCTTCGAAACGAAAAAAGAGGAAATAATTGCAGTGTTGACTTTGGCTGACATAACAAACAATTCATTTTTACAAAAATTCAGGTTCTCCTATACTTACTTTATACAAAATAATTGTATGCGTTCTAGATAAAACATTTAATCGACATGTCAACCTGAAAATGCGTAATAAACCCCGTGCACACCCTTAATCAAACCATTTTCGGGTTGCGTGTGACACGCATCCCTTACGCACATGGTACACGCAATGTGTACACATTTCCTTGTATTCGATTAATTTAATAGAAGGTACTGGATGACAATCAAAGCGTGATCCTCGTGAGGTAATAAAAGTAATTATATTTCATCAACTTCATTTGTGCGCGTCGACTTGTTGTGTTGACTAGTACCGGTTCACTCGCACACGAGAATTTAATATCCTTCGTGTGCTTGTGTTCTGTTTTGTAATAAAATGTTGTATAATCGCCAAGCGTATATTTTGCAGTAACAAGGTGATGCTAATTCTTGTTACTCAAACGAAATTTAATGAAAAAGTAATGTTTATGAGTCCCTATATGATTCACTTTCGGTTCACTTGAATTTTCGCGCGTTAGATTACGACTTGCTCTACAAATTCCCACCTTGGTAATTAACTTGTTAATAGTCATATTAATGCGTAATAGCCGATAGATTGCTGTGGAGGTGCAGAGAATCAATCACACCGTAAATTGAACGTTCATTGAGTAACGATTCAGTCTAGTACATATGTATGTGCAAGTTTGTACATGAGGTTTACACGATTGAGTTTCCAGAACGGTGAAGGCTAAAATTATCGAGATTCCACAATGTCTCTGTCATTGGTATCGATTCATAGACAACGCTGACGACTGCTAATTCAGTGTTGGAAGTCATGTTGCTCACAGTTTCCAACTAATGAAATTGAAACAAAGAGGAAGTATCGAAGAATTTTCTATGGACAGTATGTTCTATACACTGTCCTTAGTCACCTGTTATAGCCACGCATCAGGTTGTTATCTGTTTGTCAACTAACAATAGATAAGGTGATGATTCATTTCTGCAACCACTGCCAATGGAAATAGCAGGAATAGAATAAAACATAGTAACAATAACTCTAATAGATTAATGCAAAAGAACTCATTTCTCTAATCAAACTTTTTCACGATTATTGTAACATTTTGAAGCGTTTAACACGGTCGTTATTAGCGGAACATAAATCGGACAGCGTCGAAGGATCGACGAACGAAACGTAATCGTATGGATTGTCGAAAAGAAGAGCAATTAAAAACAAGTGTCCCTGTTATTTGATTCGAGTAATATATTTCTTGAACCGGTCTGGTAAGCGCAAGACGACACGTGGTCGATTGAAATGCAGCTTCACGTACCGGGTTACTTAAGTTAAGTAAATGGACTTAATGCAAAGCGACTCACAAGTATCGTTTGCATAGGCTTCAAAACATCGCGAGTTCTTGAATTTCATATACACCACCTTTGAAACGTTATTTACCTGTTCCTCGCCTCTTTCCTCTCGATTATCGTTAACCCTTTTCGGTAAAATATAGAACATCAATTAACATCGTTTCTTTTCTATAAATAGAATTTACGTTCGCAGAAGTTTGCGATCAACGCGAGAACTATAATCGAAGAGAGTATATTTAAAATTTGTAATAGTTCGCGATGATTTTTTATCTGGTTTCACCGATACATAGTTAGGCACGCGTGTCATCGATCGTGTATTCTGTTGTCAGCCTGCTATTTATCAAAAGGGGACATTACTCCACCTTTTCCGTAGGCCTCGATAAGACGATACACCGACAAACGCGAAAAATTCTCTAATGGATCGAGTTAAAAACGAATTGCACGTTAACTATTCTTTTGATATCGCGTTTCCTCGAACCAACTGTGCGTGAACCAAGGTAACTCGCCGTGAAAAAATTCTAATCTTTCCTCTTCGTGTAACCGGAAGTTTGTTACGTTCCTGCTTCTGCTTTCTGACTGGAAGTATAAAAATAGTGTTTCAATTGTTTATCCGAATCCTGTCGTTCGTTTAATAATTTTAGTAATAAATGTTTTAACGTGTCTGACTACGCATGTCCGCTTCTACTACGACTGTCAACGCCACCCACTTGCTACGTTCGCGTAATTAACGGTGACTGCCGCGGGGTCATTGAGTACCGAAGCCTTAAATCTAATCTAATCAGACAGAAAACTTTTTTTAGTACTTTTATTTCATTCACTCGATGGTAAAAATATCAGGTCGTTGGTCACTAGTAACCGCCTTAGAGCAGTTAAGGCGTCATTATTTCGTAAAAGTTGCTTATGATGTGTTGCATTATGATCATTAACCCTAAAATATAATTTCCATTTTATGCATCTATCAGTATAGAAGAGCGCTTTAACCTTCTCTTTATGACACCACTAAATTCTTCGGCCGCATTTCTTTGTAAGTGTCGAACGATAAAACCGTGCGTGTACATTCATCGGCTGTAACGTTTGAAGATAATAGTAAACTCATAAAGGCAATAAAAAAAACCGTGTCTGGCTATTTTTGCGAATTTCTCGCCGGTAAATGATCTCGTGTCGAAGATCGATAATGCGATGTTATCGTTATGACCATCGATTGTTCTTTCTCTTATGCTTCGTTATTTGATATCATGTTAACAGATAATGATGAAACATGTTCATGAAAATTGGTAGACGCACCTTACTCGATACGTATAGCCGTGTGTAATTGTTCGATAATTAAGCTGGGTGCGCCTCTTTTTACCGAAACTGATAAAAGCTCCACTTGTTCTTAGAACCATGTTGTCGGGTAATTTCAAGTATTTCTCTGCTTTTGTTCTTTGATCGTGAATATACATGCAAGCGTTTCTTTCAGCCCCTGGTTCTGTGATACGACCCACCCTTGTATTTGGCTCAAACGTGAAATGATAAAGGGGGAGCATAAAGGATAGTATTCGAGTAGCAACACAGTTCGTTATATCGCCAGCTTCGGGCAAATTTTCACTCGCAACTAGTGACTCTCCCCTGCTATCGTAGTCTACAGAGATCCACGGAGATCATCGCACTATCAAAGGCGGAAACATTTTAGCTAACTGAATGTGTTCCAAGAATTCTCTTACAGCTGTTCACCGTAACGTGCATAATGAGGATATTTTATGTAAAATGGTTTATCAAATCTTTTGTTAATTTTCAACATTTTTCGAAAGACAGCGAAGATAAATTAAAGTAGAACATTCTCGAAAATTCTCATATGCATCGATAGGGCAGTCATAAAAAGCGAAAGCAGAATGTAAGAATAAAACGGGTGGCGCGTGTTGGACAAAACGAGGTTAAAGGTATCCGACTGCGGCAGTGTCGTATTGATTCCAGTAGAGCTGACATTGCCGTTGCAAAATCTCGAGATGTTGACAACGTACACGGTGGATAATTTTACGAACGGTCCCTTTTAACCGTCTCATTTTCTTTGTGTTTCAGGGTGAAACGTCGTCCCAGAAGATCGAGGCATGCCGAAGTATTGGCTGAACGTGGCCCTTCTCAGGGTTATTCTGCCACTTGTCTTAGCAGGATGTGAGTGCAATATCTAATTATAAATCGATGGATCTGAACCAATGCATCGGCGTATCTAAGAAGCAGTGCCAACAATGTTGTATCCGTTTTCTGTAAAATTTTTTATCAATCGATTTTCCGTAATAGGATGCTTAATTGTGTCTTTCGTCATCAACTCCCCTTAATTATTTTATGCAGCGTGTTTAGAATAGATAATATAAGCGTGCCCCATTTGTCACGATAAGCTTTCAGGAAATGTTACGCCATGTTACGATAGAAGAATACTTATTAACGTACTTAAAAATGAGTCGAAAATATTATTATTGAATTTATTATAAAGTCTTAACTTTTCACGCGTAAAGTGACCACAGTAAGCTATCCACTTTACTAAATTTATATTGATACGTGGATGTAATTAGTACTCTTAACATAATTCCCGTTCGAAGTTTGTTTCATTTCGTGTCGGCTCACATTCTGATACTATAAAAACCGCTCTTCTATTCGCAGACTGCACACTGTTTACTATTTTCTCTTCCTAGTGAACACCACCCAAAAGTTTGACTAGTTGCCAGCGGTATTCAAGTGTTCGTTTCTCGAGTTCCAGAACAATTCATGAATTATTTCATTATTTCTGTCTTCTGTTGCGCTCGAAGTACCGTTCTCTTTCAGTGCTTTAAGTTAAAAAGGGAGAAAGGTAATACAAGATAATTACGTACAATCGTAGATAATTAAATTCGTATTATTTTTACGTACACGTGGTTTGTTGAAATGCGTCCTGTATTCTTTTTTCACGAAGCATCGTTAATTATAGAAACTGTGGACGGTTAATTACATTGTCCAGCTTGTGCAAGATGATAATACGAGCGATAACAGCGTTACACTAAACACCGACATAGTCATTTCTTCCCTGTTCTTTTTTTTCACGCCGATTGCGGTCACAAGATCAGTACGAATTCTTGAAACTACCGTGCACAATAAAAGAATTACTCGTGGTTATAAAGCAATTCAGTCGCTGGACAAAATTCGGACAATTTTCGAACGAAAACGATGCCCTATCTCTCTAATTATAGACGACGCCTTACAAATAGGAACGACACCGTCTCGACGTTGGAATTTTGCGACATTTCCTCAAATTTATATATACATATGCTGGTCGAACCGCGAGTCACTTTTACAAATGCTCGTTTTTCCTTTTAACAACGTGGGAAACGCATTGCTTACGTCATCCGTATTCTTAGACCGCTGCATGATACTTGTTCACAACAAAAATTTGTTCCTTTTCCGAATCACCACCAACGGTGAAACTCTGTCGGGTGTCATCAACGAGATATTTTTCTAATTCGAGAAAATAAGCTGGTATTTGTCGAAAACGACGTAGAAACGTTATTTACGATACATTTATTATGACGCATCGTGGACCGATGTAGCATATGTGCCACCGTTGATAACACTCCGATAATTAATAAGAATATTAAACTACGCGTGGTAATAGAATGGTCAACAGATAGACACTCAAACTTGACGTGTCATCATTAGATAAATTTTTATTCCGATCTTGTGTCGGTGTTGGAACGGGAGAAAGGAGTTAATTTTTCCTTTACCTTGAAACTGATACTCTCTTTCCAGTTTCACACGATTCATTCGCTTTCAATAGGATCAACAGCAACGTAAGGTCGTTACTCGATTACGAGTTGCTATTTCAATATAGTGATGTCATCGGAGAATCACTCAATGTTTTTCAGACATTATCATTCATTGATTCTTTATATTTCATCATTTAATAGAGACTATTTAAACACTAATAGTGCTGAAATTTGTAGTTTTAATCTATGATAAAAAGACCATCTCGTGCTTCAGAAAGTGTCGCAAAGTTTTTGAAGTACAACTGTTTGCCTTTTTAGTAACTGAATGACCCTCGTGTATTCTTCAGCGTTATTATTTTATTCGTGTATCTAAACGGAAGATTGAAATGTCAATACACCTAAGTTTCATCTGCGAACTCCCCAGGCTGAAACTGACCTTTTCAACGGGCAAGAAAATTGTCATTCTTTTATCCAGTCCCTGTTTCATATCGTCGGAATGAAATGCATTTCTTCGCGTGACGAGTGTCGTTTAGAAAATGTCGCGAAATGTCGGTTTTGTATCGTAGATCATTGTTAAAAAACCATTCTTTCCATTATCTACTATAGAGTGCAAAAGTTAAAAAGAGTTAAATTAATAATTTAAGTTTATCAAGTTTATCGAGAGTCCAACACTTATTACTTGATTATTGGGTTAAACAGGTACGGTATGGCGGCCCGTGGGACTGTCCCTAGTTTATTTTGCTCTGATGCTATATTCGCCCCATGTCCCTGTACCAAACGCAAAGACAATGGCTGGCCATACGGGACATTATTTGAAGACCTGCATCGGCCTATCTTTTCTCACAGCCACCAGTCAATTCACCTTTCACATAGTTTTGCTGGCGTTGCCAACTTACGGACATTTTCTTCAAAACTGTATGTAAATCACGAACAAATCTAATGAATTACAGTGACTCCCACGCTTCTTCGCACACATTCTTGAACTTTTTTTTAGATCAAAAACATCTCTCTTCGAGGATACAAATTTGTTATTTATCGTTCTATGCAAAGATATGTCAGTCCCGAACGAGTCACTGTAACTTCGTTAAAATATAATTTCTCCGTTTCCGACGTACTTGAATGATTTTTAGGCGAACTGATGGAAGTGATCTTCAGACACATAGGTTTCGTGAGGCTAGATAGCGCGTCAGCTTGGGAGGTCCTTTTTTGGCTGACCCCAGAGCTAATTGTTTTACCTACTAGTATAGCAATGTATTTTATATGTCGTTCCCTATCTCAAAAGTCGGTCACCAACGTAGAAGACGATGCATCGTTGCATCGGGGTGCTGTTGCTTCGAAAAAGACCGAGGACAGCACGGCAAAGGTATTTGTACTAAACACGAAAATCTAAATTTCGAAACACGAAGCGAACGCGAATTTCTCTCTCCAGATCATCAATTTTCTGGGGCGTATCGGAACCTACGTGGTCCTGGCGTCATTTTGCATCACAGCATCCTTGAAACCATCCGTGGAAGGTGGTTGTTACTTCCTCGTCTTCCTAGGAGCAGCTACTTGGTGGGCGTGTAATAAAGAGCTTCGGAAAGGATTCGCTGTACTTTGCAGGATCATGATGGCCGTCGTAATCCTTCATCTACTGACCCTGCTCACTTATCAGAATCAACTGCCTCAAGAATTGATCCCTTTGAATAGGACCTGGCAACGTTATTTTGCTCTGACCGCGATCTATCGGACGAATTGCAGCGATCCGAGAAACGTGGAATACGCTGAAAATGCTGATTGGTTGGTTTACGGCTACTGTTTGCGACTGTTTTGGCTCTACTACGTTTTGGCTTTGCAATCTCAATTCCTGAGCAAAAAACCGGTGAGTTCGTTGGTTGCATCGATCCGTTTTTCATTAATCGAAAGTGGAATTAACGGAGAAAATCTTTTTGTTAAATTTCAAAGTATTAATCGACTAATTAATTACTGTCATAGTGTTTCGCTAAAAAGATGTTTGAATATTTGGGGTGACTTGGAAACTACCGATAAGCAATGTAACATTTAAATTTGTTAAAAGCTTGAATCTGAATCGTTCTATCTTCTCAGATTGCGTGCCTCTTCGCCTGTTATTCAATTAATTATTCCTTACGGTTAAGGAGAACAATTAACACGAATAACCGTGCTTCCACGATGTCTTGACTAACTTTTCAACCGATCCCAGTCTTTATCCGATAACACTGTATTCTCCGTTTTGAAGAACGTTGCTTTTACTAACGAGGCGTTCCAGGCAAAGAAAGTGAAACGTTTAAGCGGCAAACTGGAGAACCTGGACACTCCATTGTCTAGACACGTTTCCATCAGAAGAAGGACACCTTCTCAGAGATGGCAATCTGCCCGTCGAAAGGCCCGCGTAAGGATTCTTCGACCTGCATGATCCAAATATTCCCGACAAAGATTCTTCTCTCCTAGTCACGCTTCTATCTTTGCCTTTCCTTGTAGAAACAATTCCTCGATCGATTCGAAACGTTGTTCATCGAAGTATGCACCATTTCCATTGTAAATTTTTCCTATTCAGTTCCGTCTTTTATATTGCAATGGTCTTTTAATGGAATGCAATTACGATTACACCTTTAATTTTGTATATAGAAGAATGGTAATGGTTATCAAGATTATTTCTTTATTGTTTAATCGACCCATTCTCATTGGCGTAACTAGAATTCTTGTTCGGTGCGAATAAGGTTCTCTAGCTTTATTAACGGTACTAAAACTTTGCTCTCGGCATGATTAAATAGCTTTGGAAAATATCGAAATTTCGGGACTGGAAAATTCCGAAATTTCGAAATGGAAGTATTTGAAAATTTGGGAAATTGGGTATGTGGAAGTATAAAAATTTGAAAATTTGTAACTATCTTACACTGTATATTCCTCGCGTTACGTGAAGTGGGCCAGTCAATAATTAAAAATAGTTATGCCAATGCTTATTGCCCGTCAGACGACTTCCGTCGTTTTTTATTTGCTGTCGCCTTCCAGATTTGCGGTTGTTCTTTAACGCTGAGCAAAAAAAAAACTCTTTTCCGTTTGGATGCCGCTATGTTTAGTTTGCCATTGTTTTAGAAGCCGATCGTTAATTCGTCGTCCCTACCTGTCGACGAGCGCACACCCGTACGTATAATGATTAAGTTTGCACGTTTCATTATCACAGCAATCACTCTTATTCACTAGTTCCGTGTCGATGTTACTCTTATGTATTTCAAACAAACGCATTTAACCATTTCGTTGCGACAACTATTACGCGACAATCATAAGTTGTTCGAATTCGATACACAATTTCTTTGATAGTTATTTTAACGCTCTCGAGCGCAACGAAAGGGTTAATATCTTTTTTATCTTTTTTATTTTTCGTGCACTCATCGCACGTTACGTTCGCACTTGGATCTCTTACACTTTAAGAATCGCACTACTTTAATTAACGGTGATGGTGATATCATTTTACTCTCTTTTAGCTTGCACGTGTATGCTTAACGAGAAGAGAATTTTATTTTAGAAAATAGATAATTATCGAAAATTAAAATTCCATCATGAAAAGTACTATAGTTCTTTGTAGAAATAAGATCTTTTAGAGGTAGACAGAGGTCATTATTTTCGCTTTTATTCGGTAGTTGATGAGGTTTGGATCCGGAAGAACGGGACTGTTGCAAGATTCAACCGGAAGCGTCATCGTTCAAGACGGTCATCAGGATGACAGTATTCAGCTGCAAAGTCTTAGCGAAGGTTCGTATGCCATCAAATCGAGCATAAGAATCAAAGCATAATTAATAAAATAAACTACAGCTGCTCCTGATGAACAATCTGGGATCATCGAACACATCATCATGGCTGTATATTCGATTTTCCAATTGATCATCAATTCATCTTACATCGCCACTAATATCATAATGATGGTAAGAAATAATAAAACACTGACATCATCGAATTCTACTAAAAAATATCAAGTTTACTCATTGAATCACTCGATTGACCAGACTTGGAGCATAATGTATCACAGTTGGACAACATTTGCTTTGTTATTATGGGCTTTGGTCCTTTGGATGGTGCCTAACAAACGAGCTTCCATGATGAAATGCTCTCCCTTTATCGTTTTTTACGCGATGCTTCTTCTTCTGGGACAGTACATTTATAGTATGGATTTGACCGAGGAAGAGTTACCGACACAAATAAATGGAGTTAAAATATCAGAAATCGGTTTCAGCAAGACCGAAAGTCATTGGCATTTAGTGGTTAAAGTAAATAATAATTTACATTTCTAAATCTTTCGACCCCTCAGTTTAAAGGGTTACATTAGAACTAATTGTATCTCTAACAAATCTTTTGTAGTGTGTGTTCATATCGATGTTTTGGATTACGATGAGACAGTATACCGCTGAGAGAACCAGACAAAGGCGTTCTTCAGCGTTGAGAGACATGGTAGCTCCGTTACATGTTTCCGTTTCGACAGCCACCACTGCCATGCACCAGGAAGCGCCTGAGATTAAAAGCAAATTCATGAAAGATGTTGGTATTCTTCTGAAAAAGTTGCTGACCAAGTTTTGGATCGCTGTAGTAGCCATTATGCTATTTATCTGCGGAATCACTGGCGAACGTATGACCGTCTTCAGGATCGTTTACATGTCTCTCTTCTTGGTTCTAGTCATTACATTCCAGGTACATTAAACGAGACAGCGAACTCATAATTGTCGAAAGAGATCGTCGAATGTTCGCTGCGACTACGAAACGTTTGTTCCATAACTATTTTTTAATTCTAGATATCCTGGACAGTATGGAGGAAGATGATGTACTCGTTCTGGCTCACAGTCATCGGATACTCCGTGATCATGTTGATCCTCGTCTACACTTATCAATTCGACAATTTCCCAGAATATTGGAGCTATTTGCGCATAGACGAAGACCTGCAGATGGACATCGGTTTAGAGAAATACGCGACCAAAGATCTTTTCGTTAGACTGTTAACACCGACCTTCTTCGTCATCATCACCGTTCTTCAGATTCATTATTTTCACAAAGACTTCTTGGAAGTGACAAATATCGAAAGATTCGGGTCAGTAGGTTGGCGATGTCACTTAATCTGGATTAATGACTCGATAACACGTGTGATTAACAATCGTAGATACCGGAGTAGTCCTGTCAGACGATCCAGTCTTGGCCACTCTCCGACCTTGGACATAGTACCAAATATACCTGCAGACATTTTTATTAGCGAGGAGACAAACGAAACCAAATACAGCTTGCGACAATTGAAACGTAAGTTAACAAACTTCGCAAAAGTTAATTTTCCATCGAAAATATTAACTATGCTGTGCATTCAGGAATGTCCAAATTGGAAAGAGTAGCGTTATTTCGCAAAATAGTCGGCCATTTGGTGAACTTCTACAATTACACGTGGCTGTTCCTTGAAATTCATATGCAGAAGATTGTTTTCATCTCTGTGATACTACTTTGCGTGAACGATGTGAGTTATTGATCGATTTAATTACTAAATTTTGTACTCTTAACGTGTTATATTTAAATTGCACTTCACAGGTTTGTGCCATTAATATAGTGTTCGTCGTGATAGTGGTTATTATGATCAATTCTAGACGGAACGTTCAAATATGCACCGTTAACACGATCGCAGCGATCATTGCTCTCTTAATGGTTGTAAAGATGCTTTATCAGATTCAGTACATCGATCATAACAATTGGAACGTTAATTGCACGGTAAGATAAAAATTAATCCAAAAGAAAAGACCTGAAATAACCAAAATTGCTATCGATACCATTTCAGAAAAACATAGATGAATTTCAACAGCCATACGCCAGCAACAACACAGTATACAACATAGCCGAATGGTTTGGTATAAAGAAAGCAGAGCCAGGACATCTCGCAGAACTACTGAAAGGCTATATAGGAATCATAGTAGTGACCACCGTGAGAAAAATCATCAGAATTCGACAGTGCTTCCATCGACAAGAACGTGGTGAACCTCTGGACACGCCACAAGTCATGTTCCCATCGATCACTAGAGCAGACGCTGATAAAGGACTGCCAGAATGCATAAAGTTCCTGTTCAATTACGGATTCTACAAGTTTGGCGTAGAAATGTGTCTGATAGGAATCGTGGCTTTGATTGGAACAAGACTCGACTTTTATTCGGTTCTATATAGTATATGGTTGTTGCTGTTCTTTTCCTTGAAAAGAAGAACTATCTCGAAGATTTGGCCATTCTTCAAGATTTTCGCTATAATCCTTTTACCTATTCAGTATTCTCTGGTCGTGTCGCTGCCTTCCTGGCTTTGTATAGGTCATTAAATGTCCATGATAATAACAATTAACATATTGAAATATGCACGCCATGAAACGAACGAAACTATTCTTTTTCAGATTATCCATGGGGTGATTCGAAAATATTGAGGAGGCTACAAGAGTGGATGTATTTCCCTGATCCAGATTTCCCACCGAATCCCAGAAAACTAATATGTAAGATTACCTTGTTCGAAGATGTTGCTTCGATCCATTTGATGACACGACGAGTATTGATTACTGATCCTGTTCCAGGTGACTTCATTCTGTTGATGATGATCGTCAGACAGAGCCTCGTTTTCAAAATCGAACAACGAAGCGCAGCGTCTGGCGTAGAATTTCCAGCAGGTCACAATTATTCCGTGTACAATAACATGGAGAAACCGAATTTCGTAAATCCTGTGAAAGATTACGTGTCCCACATTCATTCGTGGTTGGACATCGTGAAACGAGGCGTGATGATGAGTCTTATGTGGGTTACCTTGTCGATCATGTTCTTGGCTGGAACCGAGAGAACCAACCTGTTCTCGTTGGGTTACTTGATCGGAGCGTTCGTGTTCCTCTGGCAAGGAAGCGACTTTTATTTGAGACCAGTCAAGACGATTTTAAAATGGTGGAATCTTCTGATTGGATACAACGTTACCGTTATCTTCTTGAAAGCCTTGCTTCAAGGTATAGGTTGTGTGCTGACAACGGAGGTAAGCTGTTGATCGATTAAATAATACGTTGATAATCATAAAAGTACAACGTCGAATAGTGAAAATTTGATGTTTCAGTTGAAGACTTCAGCATGTCCAGTCATTCAGTTATTCGGCATTAGCTGTCTAAGAAAATTCCGAAGTTCTACCAGTGATCTCGAGTTGGGAAAAGCAGAATGCGAAGTACCTCGCGAAGACATAGGCATGGTCTGGGACGGCCTGTGCTTTGGCTTTCTGCTACTGCAGAAACGACTCTTTAAGAGTTACTATTTCTTCCACATAGTGGATGAAACGAAAGCCATGAGCGTGTTGGCTTCCCGAGGAGCTGAGTTGCTCGAAGAGCTGCACCAGAAACGCATCGAGATCCAGGACAACGTGGAAAAGAACGTGCTACAAAAGTTGAAGTTTAAGATGGACAAGATCAAAGCCAATCAGAGAAAGATACAAGGACCCAGTTACAGAGAACCCCAGACGCACAAAGTTGGTAAGGACTGTCCTGATCTTCTAATTTATTTCTTCTCTAGGTAATGGAACAATCTGGTTGATTAACTGATTTGTGTAGTCCTGAATGTCTACTTGGTCCCCTGAATCCTTTTGAGCAGTGTTGTCTATGGGAATCTTTGAGATACAGGCACATTTTCCATTTAAAAATTTTGTTTTTTAACGAATCCAACTTATAGGACATTCTGATAGACAATTACTTTTTGAAACTAATTTCTCAGCTTCCAATAATTCCTGCTCTAAGTAGCAAGCGACTTCATAAGTCCACAGTAAAAGGGTTGATCCTACACCCTCTATCCTACAACACCTAAGTCGTGACTCACCTACACCATTAGATATCTCACAGGCTAACCAAGAATCTCTATATTTAATGCAATCGAAAAAAAGAAGGGGAGGCGCCTTTGGCGAAGTCTTCCAGCGTAAGTTCGTGCGTCTCCGGTCATACGCCTCCTCAAGGTTATCAAACGCCGATCGACGAAGACGAGGAGGAGCCACCTCCGTTGACGCCACGAGCTGCGTCACTGTTGCAGGCGCCCACTCCAAATTCCGCGGTGATGACAGTAAGCCTCGAGGGTTATCTCGAGCCCACTCGTATTTCTTTCGGTTCTCCACCGAGTAGCGAGCTGAATCCACGTGGACCATCGCCGGACGAGACGTTTCCGGTATTCTCTCCTCCGCCGTACGATCGAGGACCGCCGGATCGATCGTTGACCTCGTCGATCAGACATCGCCGTCAGTCCAGCTTCATCGGTCCACCATGGATGAACGGGCTGCAGACACCACGACAGTCGATCGTCTCGACCACCTCGCGTTCCCCGCAATCTCATCACACATGTAACGACACAACGGGAACAAGATCGTCGTCATCGATCTGCTACGATGTCCTGTACATACGCTTCCGCTCCTGCACCTTCTAGATTAATCTAGATCATCTATGACGCACCCATGTCTTTTCCGTTTCGTATCCTCTTCTTTTGATCGCGTTGAAAGTTCTTATAAAATTCTTCTGTAAAAACTTGGATATCGCTCTTCATAGATTTTCTTTAGTATCATCGATGAATTTCGTTCAAGATTTCTGTACTTTAAATCTCTCTGTATTTCTTAATATGCTTTCGTCGAATTCGTTAGATGTGATCTTTTGGATAGATAGTTGTAAATAGTTGAACATAACTTCGCATATATTTTGGTTATTCTCGATCGATGATTATGTTCTATCCTACCTTGGGCAACCATCCTCTGCCATTATCATAATCAAATTTACTTATTTTATAGGAAAACACGACGGAGATCCAAAAATCCGTTTATTTACTTCACAGATCGTCTACTCTGTTAATCCTGCTGATCGTGGACTTCAAGATGTTCGACATGTAATATACTATATATAGATGTATATTGTTGTAAAATAGATCGAGTCGTACGCGCAGATGATATTTCGTTTTCAGTTTTCTTTATCTATCTATCGTTTCTGTTTTTTTCATTCCGTTAGATACTCTCTATCCAGGGACAAGGCCATTGTACAGAGTTCGCGCTCCAAATACCAACAAAGAGGGTAAATGAACATTATCCATTCTTCGCAGTTTGTCTGGGCTTTAACTCCACGAACTGACGTCCTAATTAACAATTGATCCTTTTGCTTTTACAGACTTTCACGCTTTATGTCATTTTTATATGTATGTGTACATGTGTACGAGTGCGTGCTCGCACGAGTGTGCGTGAATGTGTGCGTATATGTATGGTGATGGTATTACTTGAAACTTAACATCTTACCTAACAAAGTGGCAAATATGCCACTAATCTTTATCTAAAATGCATTAGTGTTACGTGTGTTGCGTGATGATACTAACGATTTCTATAGATTTGATAGATGTGTGTCGTCTTCTAACCAGAGTGAATTTGTTGGAATATCGTCTTCTTCGAGCACCATGGATTTGTTAAATAATTTTTGTCGTGCATGGCTTTGGCACACTAATAGCGTGACCGGTGGCGTTCAAAATTCTTCAGACGTTGAGAAAAGCATTCTCTTTTTTGATTAGCCATCAGATCCGGTGATTACTACATGTTCGATGACTTGGACGACGATGATGTGACTGATCTTATTCCCGACACCGAATCCGAGAAGAAAGAGCAAGAACGTCGCCGCGAACAAGAGAGGCGTAGTCGAAGGATGACCATCTCCGAGGTACGTCACCCTTTTCATCGGTGAGATGCCACAAGAAAATGAAATGTTGTAATTTGGAATATTACTATATGAATTTCTGGTTTGTCTGCTACGAAATTTCCAATTTGAAACAAGATTTTGACTAATCCCAATCGAAGCGCTTGATCCGCTGAAAAATTTTGCGAGTTTGCGACTCTATCGATTCTGAATCTGTCAGTTAAACTTTACCTCGTTCAGTTAGTTCGGGTAATTACGAGTTAATTTGTAACTCACGCGAAGCTCGATTATTGGCGACTGTCAGTCAGCTGAATCAACAACCAAGACCACGGCCGAAGGTTGACTTCTTTTGATTTATTTTAATTTCAATTTGTTTCGTATTTAAGTTAACTTTTAGTTAACTCGGAATTCACGCGAAGCTCGATTATTATCCATTACCTATCAGCTGGATCACCAGCCAAGATCACAGCCAAACGTTGACACTTCTCATATCGTGTGATCAGTGATGTTTTGTTTCTTTATTTTCCCTTTTCTTTTAAACATTTATTTTCATTTTCCGTGTGTGCTACAAACTCTGCCATTAATTTACATCTGTTACCCCAACCATATACCCCCATGCCCACCCCTCAACCCCATATTATTCGCGTATTCTTCACCCCCTGGCCCGTCGAGGAGTGTCGTCAGACAACGAACGCGAGAAGGCAACACGTGTCCCGTAATAATTGACAACGTCAAAGACTAAAGAGTCTACTCCAACTTGCAGCTGATGCACACGCTGATTAAGACAGACATTGAGATTGCGACGCACGTTGCCATGTACGGAGGGACTGAAAAGGACGCGCTGAGACTTCGTCGTCGTAGTGTACCTTTGACAAGGAAGAAATCGTCTATGTCGTACCTAAGTGCACGTTCCGAGACCGACACAGCAGTGGCCACCGATGTGAGACCCTCCCCTTAAAAAAAAGGCTGCATGTCACTGCTACAAAGGCTCACTTTCATACACCTGCCCAACACCATTTTATCCTTCGTCATTTTTACTTTTATACAGGGTGAATTAGTTAACTACTATCATGTCCCTTATTTCGAAAACCATAAAAGTTTGAACCGTATTTTTCAAATAAAAAAATATGCTGTACGAAGCATTTGAGATATGGGAAAAAATTACTCCATGGACCATTCGATATTTGTCTACTTTTTGTTTGGAAAATATTCTTCCGACTGTTATAATTTTCGAAGTAATTAAAGTGATAGTAGTCACGTTTTCGTCTTGAATATCGTACATTTCATTTACGTTCTCCTTGAAATTTGTTTTTTTATCAAAAATTTCTCTCCCTGTAATCTCATTGTCTCTAATACGTCGTCGATTCAGTAGTTCACTACTTGTTTCACATTAGCTTTCGTTATAACTCCATTTCATCATTTTTTTTGTTTATATCGTTCGTCTTTGGTCTTTTTTTATTTCATCTTGTCGTACCTATCGTTAATATCGAGGATACTCGAAATGTGTCTTCTTTTTTCGTTCTTTTTTTCGTTTTAAATGATTTTAATAGCGAGCTACGCAACACTCACGCAAGTTTTAACACGTTTAACACAATAATTGATTACACGAAACACGGCAACACGAACAGCAGAAACAAGATTAATTTTATTTGACAAACACTCTCGCTAGATATCGCAGCGCTTACAATCGAACGTAAACTCTTCTTTTACTATTCTCGCCATCAGCTTTGTAAAAAAAACAAGACATTGGAAGAGGTGGCGTTTCATTTACGTCGATTTATTTCTATTCTTTCCTTTTTTTGTATTTCTATTAACTCTTTATTTCTTTCGTTCCTTTTTTCAATGTTGTAGTCGCAGCTGACAGCGAGGCTCCTCGTCGTTGGTGTACGTAATCTGCCGCTCGATACTTTGGCTTAATTTGTTTTCATTATGTTACAGCGACTTTAGCACCTGTAATCTCACGCTTTGTAATTATGTAACATTATACAATAATCTGTTCAATGCCGAGCAGAAAATTCTGAATGCGCAGAACTTGAATCGGGCAAAATGCCATCGAAAAATGGATCACGTCCCATCTACCCGTTTTTTCAGTGCCCTCTGGTACTGTAGTCTTATGATAAAAAGAATCCGAGAAATAAAATATTCTGACACTGATATTAAAAAGTTAATTTTAGATACAGTTATCATATTTTTATTTATTGACTAATGGCATGATTGTCTTCAAGTTCCACGTACCAAAAAATTCTCCCACGGATTAAAAAATAATGATGCGAACGATGATGTATCGTCTGAATCAGGGCGGTGACAAAACAAGTCTTACATCGGCTGACATTGAAACCGAAGAAAAGGATACGTCAATGGCAGATGCTGAGAAAACATCCCAACCCTCTGACGATGAGTACGGAGAAGATAAGGTCGACGAACCAAAAAGGAAGGAAGAAGAGGAAGAAGAGGAGGAGGAGGAGGAGAAGAAAGTGTCGTTTGTCACGTACCTTAAATTCCTTTTGGTGATGATTAACAGCACATTAACTTCGATGACCAGATATTTGAATAGATTTTCAAGGGACTATAGATATATTCGCAAGGTTCTAGCGAAAGAAAAGAAACTATTAAAGGTACAGCACGATTAATCGGTGAAAGTTAGGCATCTCAGAAATTTATTTCATTTAATCCTTATTTTCTCTTCAGGCAAAGCCAGATTTTCGAATGGGAACGAGATTAGGTATAAATCAAATGTGGCAGCCGATACCATTATTGAAGAAGAGGTAAGATTTCATACAATGAATGATCTTAGCTTTTTCGATTATCTGTTCGTAGACGCTTAGCTACATAAGATATGTTACCAAAAGTATTTATCAAAAGGATTTAGTAGGTGTGTTAGAGAATTCAGTTCATGTTAAGATTGTACATTCAATTTTGACTGTATTTTATACATAGTTATGAAGCTTCAGTAGCGATGTGCTTGTTCAAAGTAGTCGGTCCTCGATAGAAACGTTTAAAGTCCTTATATGAAGTAGTAGTTTCTACTTGACCATGCTATTTAGCACAGAAATCGTTTAGTAGAAGGTAGAGTAGTAAATGTACTCGGTCTGACAGATCCTCGACTAATGGAATTACCGAGGAATGTTTCGATGCTGGCGAGGGTCCTAGTCAACCTCGAACACAGGAGGAGAGGTAAGATTTTCTAAAAATGCTTCAACTTTTCTCTTTGTTTGACCATAGAACCCTTTTAGAATACCATGTGCAACAAAGAGTGGGTTTTCAGATCGCTTTAATTTTCTATCTCCTAAAATCCCGCGGTTCTGTGGCAATCGTGTGGGAAACATTAAAAAGATTAATGCTTTAAGTGGTTTTCATCAGTTGGTATCACATGGTGGTAGTTATCAATTCCACTAACTGTATTCGTGAACTTCAAATCCAATCGTACTGTTTGAACCTAGTGAATTTGTAAATTTTACTTCAATCCGGCCTCTTTTTTTTAAATTCTGCCTGCATCTATCTCAAGTAGACGTAGAACGAGAAAGACATTGTTTTTGGTAGGAAAAGAAGCTCGCTGACTGTTCCTCAGATCCGAATTCTGGCGCCGAGTTTGGAGCGAGGATTGGATATGTCCTCCTCCAGGTATCGAAGAACTTTCTAAAAATCAATAATTAGTTTTCACTTAATCGTTGATCGCACTTTTTGCACGCCAATTTTTGTACACAACCTATCAGTTGTTTCGATCGTTCTATTTTTCATTTATCTCCGATGCTTCCATGCTGTATAATTGACGACCTTTTACATTTTTCGAAGAAAAAACTTGCATTCATTTCACTCTATTCACAGGTTCTCGAGCTTTCAATGTGCTTTTTATATTGATTTTTCGTAAAAGAAAGACAATTCTATACTGTATAAAATTTCATTCTTTCTTCTGCGAGTTCGTGTTTGAAAAATCCTTTCACCGAATTGTTTGATATAATTAATGCAAATTATCGTGATCACAGCACGCTCTTCTCTGAAATGTCACCCGTTCAACACGACGACGAAGCAGGGGAATTATCGGAGGTCGACCAACCACCGATAATACAATTATTGGCGTCCATATGGTTTGGCATTTTGGCCCACTCGAGTCTGCTATGCTACTTTATGGTGTTTCTTCATCAAATCAAAAATGCGTCGGTTTTATCCACACCCTTGCCGCTGATGGTGTTTTGCTGGGGTTCACTTACAATCCCACGACCATCGAAGACATTTTGGGTAACTTTGATCGCATACACCGAGGTAAGACAGGATTCATTAATGAATTAATTACTTTTTACATTAAATAATTCATTAAATAATTAATACAGGTAATTGTCATCGTAAAATGCATTTTCCAATTGGAACTGTTACCCTGGAATCGAGACGCCGCACCGAATAATCCTCTCTTTACACCCAGAATCATGGGAGTTGAACGAAAACCTGATTACGCCTTATGGGATCTATTGTTGCTCCTTATGGTATTCTTCCACAGGTACATCATGACCGTTTTTTGCAATCGGTATTATGGGATGGAATTACAGCAAAAGCATTATTTGTCAGGTTTATGCTGAAGTCGTTGGGACAGTGGACCGCGCCGACGCTTAAACCAAGGAAAATTATACCCTCGAGTTTAACTATAGTCGCGTCTAAACCTCCTCCTGAAGATAGAGGGCAAGGGGAAACTGTGTTACGAAACGAAACAGAGTATGCCTGAAACGTTTTATTATTTTCAATGATTTGTTTATTTAGATGTTAGATGTTTTGAGTTTATTTCTTCAGGGATGGTACCAATATAAAAACACCTGCAGGAAGGACCTTGCATATCCGTGGTGAGGGCGAAAATCTAGAAACGCACGATGAGAATGAAAGACTTGTCGCGATTCAGGGCGAAGAAACGGATGAAACATTCCAGAAAACTATGGATATGACGTGAGTCGATTACGATTCATTGAACGTTTGTATATTTGATTACATTGTGCGACTCGTTTTCAGCGTTAACAAATATATGGAACCGACGAAACACTTTTTCCGCATGATTCTCAGTACGTCCGGCAAAGAGAAAACCAATGTGTATGCGTACATGTTTCTCTGCGATTTCTTCAACTTTTTGCTACTCATTTTTGGATTCTCTGCATTTGGAGTAAGGAATATTCTTTTACGAGCCTTTTCACAGGGAATAGATATCAATTATCGCATATTTTTAGACTCAACAAGGCGATGGCGGTGTGACGGCCTATTTACAGGAAAATCGAGTACCTATGCCTTTCTTGTTAATGTTATTATTGCAATTTGCGCTGATTGTTATCGATAGAGCTTTATTCTTGAGAAAGTCTATCCTGGGAAAACTAATCTTTCAATACTGCTTAATATTTGGTGTTCACATTTGGATGTTCTTCATTTTGCCAAGTGTTACGGAACGGTATGATTAATCCTCAGCTGTCTCTAAATTATAATCAAGACTATAACAATTTTTGTATTTAAAGTCGTCTGTAATTATAGACAATTTAATGAGAAGCTTCCACCACAAATTTGGTACATGGTGAAGTGTTTCTATCTTCTATTGGCTGCGTATCAGTTACGACAGGGCTATCCAACGCGTATACTCGGTAACTTCCTCTGCAAAGATTACAGTATCGTGAACTACGTCTTGTTTAAAGGGTTAGAACATTTAAATTCATCTTTAGATCGTATATTGAGCGACAGTCTAATTTTCATTTTAAAAACAGATTCATGCTGGTTCCTTTCTTGTTCGAGCTGAGAGCTGTTATGGATTGGATTTGGACAGACACATCCATGGCCATTATGGACTGGTTCAAAATGGAAGATATATTCGCCAGCATTTATCAAATCAAGTGTATGCGAGGCGTAGAAGCAGATTTCCCGCAGCCACGAGGCGTTAAGAAACAGCAAATGAGCAAATACTTAGTAGGTGGTGGTGCTCTGTTCCTCATGATTGGGTTGATATGGTTCCCATTGCTTTTGTTTGCACTTGGTGGCACGGTTGGTGTTTCAAACTTGCCTTACGATGTCTCGATGAAAATTAGAATCGGTCCATATGAACCTATTTACGCCATGTCTGCTCAAAGCGGCTCTATCATCGAATACAACGAAGCAGAGTATAAAAGATTAACAAATTTGTACGCGAGGGATAGACCTGCGGTTACTTTCTTAGAGAATTATGTTCATTCTGACGTCGCTGCGATCAGACTGAGCGGATTTTCTAGAAAATTGTGGAGTATATCTCCGCCAGATTTAGAAAGGTATGTTTTATTGTCTGTCGTATCAACTATGTCTAAGTGAAACAAATTTGTAATTTTTGTTTTACGTTAGACTAATAGCAGAATTAGAAAACAACAGTACCACTGTCGTCGTTCACGTGGAATGGACAGTGTCACGAAAGACAGATGCCAAAGACGCCACTGGTATAACGACGAAAACTCGTGACATAAAATTACTTCCGTTTATTAATGATGAATTCAATCCTGTAAGAAGAAAGTTAGCCGATATGTTATCGCCTGAGAAATCGACTATACATAACGGTACTATCATATTGCCAAACGCTTTTCCAAAATTCTTAAAGGTAACTGGTCGCAACACTGACGTGGTTCCTCAATTGATGCATTTAAGTAAGTTACGTTCCTGCAAAAAACAAGTAGTCATCGGTACGACTCGAGTATAAAATGTTAAATGACTTTTTAGGATTGCGACGCGACGAAAATGAGGAAGTAACAGACGACAGTTATCTTTATAGAAATATTAGCCTTCAACTGTCCACCGATTCTGAATGCTGTGCGCACGAAAAATGGTGGGTCGTTAGAGAAGCTTGCAACGATCCATTGTATGAACAATTATTAGAAAATATACCTTTAAATAGTTGCAAATACATCATGATGTTCTTGTTCAACGATAAAACGTTCCCTGAGGGATTGAGCTTCATTAGTGGATTAGGGTACGTTTGTGGAATAATTATTCGTAACTTTTCACGACGAAACGATCATTAATTCATGTATAATTCAATAGAATCTTAGGTTTGTATACCACCGCGGTTATCGTGATAAGTCAGATGATGAGAAAGATAGTCAGTGATATGGCACCAAAGATCATGTTCGATGACTTGCCCTACGTAGATAGGATCCTTCGATTGTGTTTGGACATTTATTTGGTCCGTGAAAGTGGTGAATTGTGTCTCGAAGAGGACTTGTTTGCCAAATTAATATTCCTCTACAGATCGCCAGAGACGTTAATCAGGTTAGTACTGTCAAGATTATTATTATTATCAGATTATTAAATTTCAATCGTGCTAAATATATGGTATTTTTATCAGGTGGACAAGACCTCCTGAAGAAGGAGAGCGGACCGATAATGAAGATCAAGATGAGGTAGAGGAAGAGGGGAGAGGAGAATCTCGAGAAGTTTCTCGTCGCGAATAAGTTTTTTCAAAAGCGAAATATTACCAGTGAACAATACTCTTCAAGAATTTTTTAAATCGAGTTAGTATTTTGGCCAAGGTTTCTTTGAACGTAGATATACATTATGGATCCTTTTTATGCCGACAATAGTTTAACGAACTTAAACAGTGACGCAACGAGTGTTCTGGAAATTAGAAAGAAAGCTCAGGAATCTATTATCGTGCTGTTTACTGTTTGAATAATGAAGAGATTGATGAATGAAGAGATCGTTTCTATCTTCAAACATCAATATTATGTACATGTACATACAGAAGTCAGAAGGGAAGGCGAAACAAGATTAAGGAACAATAAGGAAAGAGATTTGAAAATTCGAAAAGAATACTAGAATATGTTCTAGTAAGATTTTTTATTTCGTGGTCATAGATTTAAGTGAAATTTTTACTTTAACATTTATTTATAAAAGATTCGCTTAAATAGCACAATATATCATAATATAAGAACACTATTGTGATCATGGAATATCAATAACACAATTTCAGAACAAGTGCTTTATACGTTTTACACGTATGCGGATCATTTATCGTACCATATGGAAGCTGTTCTCGTTTTATCTATAATTTATTTATACTTTACGTCCACACCGAAATCCATGCACGTTTCGAGCATAATTCCATTTCAGATTGCATTTGTACCCGATAAACATGTTTGCTGAAAACTGCCGTTAGCAATATTTTTCGTTCCTTTTTATACCTTTTTCTAATCATTAGTACACATCATTATCATTCACGAATAGCAAATATGGCCGATTGGGTCAAGCCTTGAGCGTATTTTATATATTATTTATGTCCGAAGTGAAGATTTCACGATGACTATCATTGTTTGTAAATATATATTATACGATGCGCGTTTTCGTCGAAACATTGTATCATGTCGCCTTGATATGCCTTTTAAAGATATCTTCAAATATAAATCATGTTTCGAATGGACATCGAGTAATTTTCATTCCCAGATTAATTTTTTTCAGGGGAAGACGTAAGTTACTCTTTTAAATATAAACTGCTTTATTGGCCATTTTTTTTTTCTTTTACAGAAAAAGGTACACCAGTTGTTACCATTCAATTCCATGAATATATCGTTCTTAAATTAACGCGTAACAAAATATTATATGAAGCTCATTTTAAGGAGGACTAATATATGTATCCAAATGTTAACTCTTCAAACCTCTTTACGAGTTAGAAGTACATATTGGTAAAAAGTTAAAAAATATAGCATTTTATTAACGTTAACGTATATATCATCGCTTTTCTTTAGATATGAATTGTGAAAACGTAGTAGAGTTAAAACACGCGTGAACAATTATCTCTCGCTATGATATCAGTTATTATCAATAAGTAAGAACGGAAAGGCAATTCTTGTATCATTTTCAACGATAACGGAGAGATCGTCGAACTTTTCAGACGTCTATCAACATATTTCTGACAGATCTAACGAGACATGATTATAATCCAATTAATTAAACCTTACGTTTAAGTAACAATCAGCTTGTTCTAATCAAGTAAATTGCCTTATCTCGTCGTAATTTCAATTGAAATTCATTAAATAATTTCCATCAACTGTTTGTTTGCTGTCGCCTGATATAAATAAATGTATTTCAAGAACAAGGAAATCCCACGATTGAGACAGCTATTTTTTATCGCGACTAACGATAGGCGTGATACATACGTGATCGAATTACGTTTAATTTCGTAAATTTTTAACACCCGTTATATTTTACAAATTATACAAGACTGTATTAGATTTCCATACTTAATGTTAACAACTAAATCGTGAATGTTTACACATTTATGATGCATTAAAGTTTGCAAAGTATACATAAAACCTGAATTTCACAAAATACAGATCTTTATATTCTCCTCGCGTTAGTGTATCATAAATACATAAACATATAATATATTAATAATTAATGTTAATCAAAGTGTAACAGTGGAATGGAATGGATACATGTTCATCAACAAATTCTAAGCACCTAGAATCACAGCAATATACATTTTTGCTATTGTTTGGACAATTCTTTATATTTCAGTTTTAAAGCAATATTTTCTTGCTTGATAAATTCAAACTCTTCCAACTTCTTCTGTAACTCTTCATTCCGCTTTTGCAAGATAGCAATATCCTCTTGTAGTCTCTCATTTTGTTCAATCAAACTACGTACTCTGGTTGAATCTTTGCTAGGATGTATTTCACTGACAATGTCTTCTGTTTGAGACAGTAAATGCTTGATGAGATTCGCTTGAGAATTAAAATGTAATTCTTGCATTGCTCTTAAAATTTTTGTACTTTCCTGTTTGGTGCAGAGACTTACTATGTCCTTAATAGCATTAAGAAAAGCAACAGGATCGCTTTCTTTAAAATCTGGCCTCTTTGGGGCATCATAACTCTTTCCTTTCTCTTTAGTAACTTCTGTTTGAGAAGTGCTTTCTTTAGAATAATCAGGCCGATTGTTTTCTTTAACAGATGCATCTGGCATCTGATTGTTTTCTTTACAACTACCAGAACGCCTAGTTCGGTCTTTACCAACAATTTTATTTTCAGAAATTTTAACTCTTGTTTCCCTCAACTTTGTCTTAACATCGTCTTTAACTTCATGTTCTTTAGCATCACTTTTTACTCTGTTCTCAATTGGTTTTAATTTGCCTTCAACAGGTCTTTCCTTCCTTTCAGACACTTTTATCTTTGTCTGATGCTTTCTTGTATCCAATTCAGACAACTTTCTACAATCTTTAACATTTAACTCCTTACCAGATTGTTGCTTCTCAAGAGCAAGTGGTTCATTTCTATGGTGCACATTTTCCCCTTTATTCTGTGCTGAGTGTAATGGGGAAGACGTTGCAGTTCTTGTTGTTACATGCCGATCAACAGGATAAGCATTCACAGTTTTAACATCAGCTGATACTAATTCTAAATCTTCTAGGAAAGAGTCATTCATTTTTAACAGTATATATTAGCTTAACAATATGTAGGAAACAAATTTTTCATGTGTATATGAATAGTACTCTCAGGAACTCTTAAAACAAAAAAGAAATTGGTTTTTCAATTCCTTAATTTTAAATGGATGTCGTGAATTCTTAAGTCACAATGAACACCAAAAGATGTTACTATAAAATTTTATTTGGAAGATTCATTGTAAAAAAATTAATAAATACGAATAATTCGCACCACTTAACCAAAAGAAGTGCAACACTTTATTTACTACAACACAATTGTCTACAACATGTTGCAGCAAAATTTAAAAATAGTAATATATCAGTAACCTTCGATCAAATTACCGGACGTGAACATAAATATATGCCCGATTTAAATTACGTTGTTAGATACTATCAGCTGTTTCAAATTCGTTATTGCGTTTGAACGCCACCTACGATGATCAGTTCGTCGATCTCTCAAATTGGTCACTGTTTCCTATACAGTTTCATTTAAAAATTAAAGGAAATAATAGATCTTATTTTAAAAATGTTTTGCAGCGATAACTTTTCTTTTGTTCCTATTGTTAAACATTATTTTAGTTTTATATATATATACATCGTTAATCTTTGATCTGTTATATTGGCAGCAATGACGCGCCGCTATATAAAGATTCGTTTTTCGTTTCTCCGCGACAATTACGTTTCTATCTTGTGGTTGATTTGAAAGTAGTTGCGATAGAGGTGGTTGCTTATAATTGGAAACACGATGAAGAAGCTCGTGTTAATCTTACAAATTGCTCTCTTTATTTCATTAGTAAGCGGATTCATAAATGTATATCCTAAACTCAAAAAGTATAATCTACCCGACGAAGGAGATCCTGGAAAACCACTATTCTTGACGCCGCTTATCGAAAGTGGTAAAATAGATGAGGCTCGTAGTAAATCTCTTGTACAGCATAAAGAAATGGACGATGTCAGCAGTTATGCCGGTTATCTAACAGTCAATAAAGATTACAATTCGAACATGTTCTTTTGGTTCTTCCCTGCTGTGGTAAGTAATTGAATACTTTATTTTTTTTTAACACAACATTTACAACTTTAGTTGTTCGACATTCTGGTCATGTGTTGTGTAATTTAATTGTAAAGAATGATTAATCAGTAAAATTATAATTTTATATAGCATAATCCAAAAACTGCTCCTGTAATGTTATGGCTACAAGGTGGTCCAGGAGCTACATCTATGTTTGGTTTATTTACTGAAAATGGTCCATTTATAGCAACTGCCAACAAAACTTTGGCAATGCGTAAATATTCTTGGAACAAGTCGCACAATTTAATATATATTGATAATCCTGTGGGTACTGGATATAGTTTTACCGATGATGATAGAGGATATGCTACCAATGAAACGCACGTAGGAAGGGATGTTCATACTGCACTGGTTCAATTCTTTAAGTTGTTCCCAGAGCTTCAGAACAATGACTTCTATGTAACCGGTGAATCTTATGCTGGGAAGTATGTACCTGCAGTATCCCACGCGATTAAGGATTTTAATATCAAAGCAGAAACAAAGATAAACTTGAAGGGTTTAGCAATTGGGAATGGTTTAACTGATCCGGAAAATCAGTTACACTATGGAGATTATTTGTATCAACTGGGATTAATTGATGCAAATGCAAGAGAGTTGTTTCATAAGTACGAAGATGAGGGTAGAAATTTGATTAAACAAGAAAAGTACGTAGAAGCTTTCCATATATTTGATGACCTCTTGAACAGTGATTTAACCGGGTATCCATCACTATTTAAAAACTTAACTGGATTTGATTATTATTTCAATTATTTGCACACCAAAGATTCAAATGATTCTGACTACATGTCAGAATGGATTCAAAGAGCAGATGTGAGGAAAGCAATACATGTTGGTAATTGTTCATTCCATGTTGAAGACGATACAGTGGAGCAGCATCTCAAAGCAGATGTTATGAAATCTGTGGCAGTCCTTGTATCAGATTTAACACAGCATTATAGAGTTTTGATATATAATGGACAACTTGATATTATTGTTGCATATCCACTGACAGAAAGTTATTTGCAACAGTTAAAGTGGCCTGGTGCTGAGAAATATAAAACAGCACAAAGGAAACAATGGTGGGTTGACAATGAATTAGCTGGCTATTCAAAGACTGTTGATAACTTAACAGAAGTTATGGTAAGAAATGCTGGGCACATGGTTCCTGCAGATCAGCCTAAATGGGCTCTTGATCTCATTACTCGTTTTACACACAATAAAAGTTTCTAAGTACTTACATTGATCAATTTTTCAAGATATGTGATAATTCCTGTTATAGTCGTATAGTTGTAAAAATAAATGTAAACCTGAATTATAGATCAACGAATAAAACTGATATGTTACCAAACCACAGATGCTGATATGTAATTTTATAATGAAAAAGGTAGTAAATATTTATTGATACATAAAAATGTGTACAATTATCTTATTACTAAACTATCTTTTATACATTATGTAATTTATAAATTACAAAGTGTATATTTCTCACAATAATTGAGACATACAATGCATTCATTTTTTTATGAAAGACATCAAAATACCAAAAGATTGATATAAAAAATTTCAATCACGAATTGTCGTAATTCAGGAATTCCTTATTTTGACTTTCTTTTTAAAATATAATAATTTAAAATGTACTATACTAATCTAAATATGGTAATAAATAATCATCTACTATAGATATATTTTTATGCCATTCGTAATGCGGAACATTAGGTACTGTGATAAGAGTGAGTCTACCACTGCTGTCTAATGTTTTCAATCCAATTAAATCGTCCTTATAAATATCTCTATCACGCATATCTATCACAGTTTCGTTTGAGTCATAATATGCAAAATGACTGCTTTGCCACGGGGTGATGACACCATCTTCGGGACCTCCGACGAGTATCATACGTTTTAATTTGGTGAGACCTCGCTTGAAGTTTATCGACTTTGCCGTCGTGTTCTTTTCATTATTCACGTACGGAAGAAACTTGCTGTACTTGTAATATAATTTCTAGTCAAAAGAATAACCATATTCTTAAACATGATCAATCTTTTAAATGAACAAAGAATAGAAAAAAAAAATTAACCTGATGGTGTGGATCATTCCAGTAGTTTCCAACGCTTGTGTGTTGTCCAAGTTCCGAATAAAAAAGTTCATAAGCAGTTTCACACGTTAAATTATTGAAAAATAAATGTAGAAAACGTGCTATAAAGCAAAGAAATCATTTGAATGAGTAATTCCTTTGTTTCCTAGTACAGATGACACTTTTATCGCTTACTTCCATATTGTCCAGCTTGTGGTGAACTCAGTGAAATAAAGTTTCTAACATTATGATCGGGAAACCGTTGCAATATAGCTCTAGCCAATAAACCACCTTGGCTATATCCTATTAAATGTATTCCTTCAGGAAAGGCAGTACCAATAGATAAAACATCCATTCCTATCTCTTCTACCTGTCGCCACATTGGCTCTAAGCTGCTCCATCCTGCATACCTTGGTGTGTTGTAAACCTGAGTTCCAGGGTGCATCTGAAGTTGAGAATCACGTTAAGTACGTTGAAAGCAGATCACAAAAAATTTTAATTATCGTATCATGTTTACCCGCCAATTTTACATAGGTGCGACATCTGCATCATATTTTTACTCGAGCTACTTACTTGTTGAATTCTGTTGCTAATAAGTTCCATGCTATCGCTTCCAGTGAGCACTCCGTGGATAAGGACCACGGCACGATAACTTTCAACAACATTATTAATCACAGTTAAAAGCGAAACGAGGAAGAAATTATAATTTTGGAGGATCATTGGTACCCGTTTCTACGTACGAACAATACTAGTCTTGGCTAGCTCCAAGAGCACTGTATCATTTCCAATTTATGTCTGCTTTTCATTGGAACGACAAGCTGTCATATCTCTACGAAACAGCTGTTTCTTTGTCCAGATCTGTGAGCTTTGATTGGAGCATCGCTCTGGTCGCACTGCTTTTGAGTCGCGTGTTAGGAGTAATGCTTTAAAATCGATTTTGTGAGAGTAAACTAAACTTTATTCCCGATCATTGAAAATGAAGAAATTGTCCTTATCGACGATGGGCACTGCGCGTGTTTCATTACCATTCGTACAGAAGATTACGGTGCATCGTTATGCGCTGATAATTAAAAGTAGCTGCCATAGTCCTGAGCAAACTGTGTAAATCTCAGAGCAAATAAATACCTTAACGAAAATGCAAATGTTTTGCAATTCCAAGACTATACTACTGTTTCAAACTCGAACATTTAAGAAAACGAAAAAATCAATTAGGATAATTGACTTTATTGGTCTACGTTCATTAGGCAGGTGTAGCCACCAGATATGGTCAGATTTGATCGATAGACCAGAGTCAACGGCAGCAGAAAGAATTCAATGGCGTTTCCGAATAACATGACGCAGAATGTATTGGACTTCTAATCCTTTTGGAACTATATAGTTGGACACGTGGCATTTCCCGTGCTTACTTCAACCATATATCACCGCATCCTGACATCACCCCTGGCTGGCATACGAAACTCACGCCTCATGCTTGGAGGGTACTTGTCGCATTGTTTCGACTAACCTAGCCCTCGATTATCATGGCTTTACAAAGATAGAATCCTTTTGTTAGCATGATATGCTGCAATTTTATGTGTGTTCCGGAAGATCTATCTTGGTCCAGTGAATTCTTCGTGAATACCAAGTGCCTTTCAAGCATTCAACAAGACCTTTTTTAAAGGACACGTCTATTAACTCAATCTTCCAAAGTTGCCAAGTCATGCACGTTACGAGGAAAGTAGACCGAGTGTCTCTTCTAAAAGAACATGTTAATGGCCTGGCATAATATAACGTGGTTAAGGTCTTTCAGTAAAATTTCTTAAATCGATCATATTTTGAATAAAATTTGACTGGGTAAAAACGATGTGCTTCTTTTCCCTTAAAAGATTAGAACATCGTACAACAATTTAACCCGAAAGAATACCTGGGAATGAACGTGCTTACGTATTTCTGATGTCGCATGCTGGCTGTACTCGAGTCCCCCAGAAGCTTTGAGGCTTCCAGTGTTTCTTTCTCCTTGAAAGAGGGAAAAGAAGCGAAAGGGGAACGAGAAAAGCGGAGAAGGAAAGACGGCCAATCCAATTCCACACTCAAACCCGACCATCGTGATGGCGGAGGGTGGCGAAAAAACGCAGCCACGCCACACCAGAGCGCAACGCGAGGAGCCCTAGGTCTCGGAGCTTTTTTGCGTTTAATCAAGGATATTCGCGGTCGGCTGACTCGCTATTTTAGTCCACCAAGCGCTAACCGAGGCGCGCAACCACCAGCTACGAGCATATCGCAGGAAGTGGATGAAGGAATCTTCGTCCTTTGACCTCGCAGGGACGCTGCTATCTGTCCCTCGTATTTCAACAAGCATCTGACTTTATTTTCACCGAATATACTCTTCGTTAAATCTTGCCATACTTTTATAATTCAAGATCGGGTATTACATCGGGCGTATTATTAATTCTTCGTGATTAATTTAAAACGTACAGTATTATTAATTCATTTCATAGAGGAACGCAGTGCCGAGAAGTAGAATGTTCCAAGTAGTCGTCCCTGCGGTGATAATTTACCCTCGTAGTAATTCAGCTTCCGGTTTTGTAAATTCAAATGCACGCTACGCGTGATGAACGAGCGACACCGCTATGTATTAATGTTTGCAAAAATATGCAGGAACCGCAACCACTTATGTTTTTCAGCACTCGGATGCTGGCTGCCTTTCTTTTTTTCTCTTTTGTTCAACTTAAAACAGAAGGATCAGGGTAATCGGCAGAAGCAATGGTCTTATATCGGGATATCGATAAAATCGTTTGTTTGCACAAGATGTGTTGTTCGATCGACGAAGCGAGCGGTTTTTCTTCGTTGTCGAGAGGAATCATAGATCCCTCTTGGTCCGTGAGTCGACTCGAGAGGCTGTTTAAGGCCACCCTCTGGCTCGGGTAAGTACAGAGGCGGGAGAGAAGACGAAGTGGGTGGTACGGTGTCGGAGGAACGGCCGGGAGATTAGCGTTAATTACAGAGTTGAGCCGTTCCGGGGTTGGGACGGGCGCGAGGTATTTGTCACTCGGCACTGCTCCCGACTCCTGTTCCTCGTTCTGAATATTAATAACCCCGTGCCATCCTTCGCCAACCCCCTTCGCTCTTCGCCCTTGTTCACCTACCCTCTTCTGCACACCTCTCGTTTTACGACATCCGATGAATTGCACGGCAGACAACGCTACTCATTATGCTGACTGCTTGATTTCATCACCGTCACCGGTACGAAAAATTAATTGTCCCGTGATCAGCGGGGGAGACAAGGATCAATTTGTAGATTATGATCAACGTTTGCATCCTCGGTGTCAAAATAGTTACGCAAATGGTAGTCTGCTTAAAATCATACCTTTTAATCTTAATTTAATGGGGAACTACTTGTTCGTTGAATATTTTTCCCTTTTATCGAAGAAGCAGTACCGAATTACGAGTATAATTTGTGCGTTACCGTCTTTTGCAGACGTTTTGTCTCGAACGATTAGACATTTTACGAATCGTTTGACAACCACGCAAATGAAGCAAGTATCCAAAGACGTTTCGCTGGTATTCGAATTGGAAGTTGTTCTCCCAAGACGATCTACCGCTATTCTTCTTCTTCGTACCATTTTCCAAAAATTGAAGAACGCTACCTTGGACTATCTCACCCCTCTACACAAGCAAGGTTTCAACCCCTTCCACGTATCCTGTCGATCAATCGATATGTTCTCTCGTCCTTTCTGCGGTTGGTCCCTCGATGGCGGTCCCATTCCCGCGCGAAACGTTCAGATATTCAAAGTCGAGGAATAGTTTATTCATGGCCGGCTCGGAGAACTTAGAAAGGATATCGATAAAATCGTTTGTTTGCACAAGATGTGTTGTTCGATCGACGAAGCGAGCGGTTTTTCTTCGTTGTCGAGAGGAATCATAGATCCCTCTTGGTCCGTGAGTCGACTCGAGAGGCTGTTTAAGGCCACCCTCTGGCTCGGGTAAGTACAGAGGCGGGAGAGAAGACGAAGTGGGTGGTACGGTGTCGGAGGAACGGCCGGGAGATTAGCGTTAATTACAGAGTTGAGCCGTTCCGGGGTTGGGACGGGCGCGAGGTATTTGTCACTCGGCACTGCTCCCGACTCCTGTTCCTCGTTCTGAATATTAATAACCCCGTGCCATCCTTCGCCAACCCCCTTCGCTCTTCGCCCTTGTTCACCTACCCTCTTCTGCACACCTCTCGTTTTACGACATCCGATGAATTGCACGGCAGACAACGCTACTCATTATGCTGACTGCTTGATTTCATCACCGTCACCGGTACGAAAAATTAATTGTCCCGTGATCAGCGGGGGAGACAAGGATCAATTTGTAGATTATGATCAACGTTTGCATCCTCGGTGTCAAAATAGTTACGCAAATGGTAGTCTGCTTAAAATCATACCTTTTAATCTTAATTTAATGGGGAACTACTTGTTCGTTGAATATTTTTCCCTTTTATCGAAGAAGCAGTACCGAATTACGAGTATAATTTGTGCGTTACCGTCTTTTGCAGACGTTTTGTCTCGAACGATTAGACATTTTACGAATCGTTTGACAACCACGCAAATGAAGCAAGTATCCAAAGACGTTTCGCTGGTATTCGAATTGGAAGTTGTTCTCCCAAGACGATCTACCGCTATTCTTCTTCTTCGTACCATTTTCCAAAAATTGAAGAACGCTACCTTGGACTATCTCACCCCTCTACACAAGCAAGGTTTCAACCCCTTCCACGTATCCTGTCGATCAATCGATATGTTCTCTCGTCCTTTCTGCGGTTGGTCCCTCGATGGCGGTCCCATTCCCGCGCGAAACGTTCAGATATTCAAAGTCGAGGAATAGTTTATTCATGGCCGGCTCGGAGAACTTAGAAAGATATTGGAAGCGGCCCAGGAGAGGGCGAAAGATAGGAAAAAGGGACGGAGGAGGTCGACAGAGAGAGAGAAGAACGATATTGGTCGGACGGAAGTGTCCCCTCGGGGAAACGAGGAAACGGGAGGAGCATCGTCTCTCCCCCGATCCGATAAAGCGAAAGAGGGACCCCCTTGTGGCACGACCACCACTCCTACGAGTTGACCCACGTGACAGCGAGCCCGCCAATAAAATTCAAATAAACTCCACCGTGCATACTAAATTATCACATTTTCCATTACCCGACCGCGTGCCTATCCCCAAACAGCTTCCGTTTGCTCCAGAGCGAACGTTTCAACGTCCTGTCGAAATTCCAATATTTTTTACTCTTTATCCCCTGTACCAGCCTGATGGAACCTTTACCGGTTTTGAAAACGGAAGAGTGACGCTGGAACGATTTCGAAATTACATTACCGATTCGATATCGTTCTTAACAGGACTTTGGTTAAATTACAAAATTCCAATGTCACTTTTACCTTTTTCCTATCTAAGATAAATTTCGTCTTTACGCGTTGCAGAAACAAAAGAAGTAACGTTCAAAGGATTTCGTAATGTCACGAGAGGACTTATTATTCATTCGGTAAAATATACAACTTAATTGATCGTTTGGCGGGGCCAGAACTTAATCCGTTTAGTCGGTTCGGTTGACGAAAGACCAGCGGACTTAACATGAGCTATTGAGCTTTCAATATCGTTTCAAAGAAGATTAAAAAGATGCGAACGCCTTCTTGATTGTGACAATGTATCGGATACAATTCGTAGATTGTTATCGTCGTCGCGGTGTCATTAATCCGGCGTTGGATACTTATCGGGAAAAGTGGGAATGACTCGTTCAAGAGGGTCCAGTGGTGTCTGACGAAAGGGACGCAGAGGTCAGGTGTCCTTTCCCAGGAACGCCCCAGATTTCGACATTACTCAAGCGGGATCAACCTGCCAGCAAGGAGACCATTGTTCGCCTTTACGTTGCCGAGTTTTCTTCCGCATCGATGGTGCACCATCTTCTTGGACCGATCGTTTGGATACATGGCACTTTTTGTTCCCGTACGACAGTATCGAATGCCCAGAAAGATTGCTTGGATAGAAATAGCCGTGAAAAATGTGTATCGGTATTTTTATTTGTTCGCCTTTCGAGGATTTTTCAACATTTTATCGTACTTAACGAGCCGAGTGTTATGGGGGATAGCGACGAATGACGTCATGAATTTAATTTGCTCGAATAATCGCTAAAATAAAGGATAAATGACACGAAGATTTAATCGGGATTAGGTTTATTTCGCTAAGCATCCAGATTCCATCGACAGAGAGTGTACAACATTTAAATTTCATGGATTTTTCACGAGAGCGTAAACCCGTTAAGGCGTACAGGAATTAACCAAACGAAGTTTCGTCGTGTAAAACAATTAGTAGCTTTAGCTGTGCCCCTATTCACCCTATCAGCTTGTCTACGCCCCGACTATTAGTATAATCGCCGGAGGCTACGACCCTTAGCTACCCCCGAGCGGTTCACTTTAATTCTTAGCAAGTTAGAGTCACCATTCTCACCTTTTCTGCGATCGGTACGACTTTGAGCTTCATTCAGTTTCTCTTTTCTCTTACTTTCTTTGTCTCTCTCTTGAATCAAGCGTTAAGCCGTATCAACTATACTCTGTTCGCTTTAAGAAAATTCATGAAACATTCATCTTGTCACATTTATTAAATTTAAGTTCCAAATTGATATACCGCGAGTGCTATTTTACTATACTTTTGTATCGTCAAATCATATAAGTAGTTTAATAAAAAGGAGCAATAGTTTATTCGTGCGGCTATTTTATTTAATCGTATCTTGCGCGAACACGTGAAACATCGTAGTATTTTACGAGGTGATTAGACGACAACATTTCCGAGCAATTCTGCGTTTCGTCACGTCCAAAAATAAATGTAGCGTTCCGCTGCGTGTCTAATTGATTTCCACCGTGCCAAGGGGTCACGATACGACCGCATCAGGGTGAATTTCGGTACGTCGATCCACCCCTTTGCATTATGGATGCACCTGATTTCACACTTGTTCGTTCGCACTGGCAAACTCCTCCGCTGTAACGTCTCCATCGATATAAACGGTCCGCAATTTGCTAGCCCATTGTAAACCGCCCCCTTCGGTTCGATTCATGGGTAATAAATCCTGGCGTCGGGATATATGGCGAATTTATGTTTACGAAAGCTACGGGCGTGGAAAAGGTAGCCGTCTACCACCTGAAATCTGTCGTAACCATCCTTGTTCGTGTAAAGAATATTTTTGCGAATTTGAATTCTGCTCGAGAAGGAATATTTCTTGAAAATCTATCTATCTCTTTTATCGTTAATTATTTTTTTCGATTATAAAAAATTTGACGCACCAACTATCAGCGATCGTAGTCGATGCACTAATGCGTCAAGGGTTAATTTAGCAATCGAGTATCGTTTTTGAGCCATTGTATCGATCGGATATCCGAAATTGGCCGTGTAACATGCGCGTAATCCGCGCCACGTGTCGTCACCAATGTCAGGCGTCGTCCGACATCCCTCCCTGTCACTCAGAACCTTCTTTGTACCCGCAAAACCCACTTGAATCGTCGCTCGGTTCGTCTACTCGTTCGTTACTCGTCATTCAATATCAATTTGTCCAGTTACCGAGATTAGAAAGCGACTTGAAAGCGATGCTAATTCGTCCTGCGCTCTCCGCTTTCTAATTTGGGATTCACCCTCTTTGACCCCGTACTTATTGCTCTATATTTCGTTTTATATTAACCGAACGGGCATCGATCGTGGCTATTCGAGTCGCTCGCATCTGATTTCTCGAAATAACGCGCGGATCGTTTCAGGATTAATTGCGATACAATTACGCGATTCGATGATCTCTTGTTCGTTTCGTTCGGGTTTCGCTACTCGCGAAAATCGGTCGGGTGAATCAGATTCGAAAACGGTAAAAAGGACATCGGTGGTCTAACATATGGCTGGCGAAATTGCCGACGGGGTGGCGGTAACAATATTTACAGAAGGCTCGGCTAACCCCCGGTGTTTTGTTAAGACTGCACACCGTACATCGCCGCAGCCCTGGGGGCAAGGGTGTCACTTTACCCCGATAATCCCCACCGTAATACTCTTTAGCGATCCAAGTCGCGGAGTAATATTAAGTCCCTCGCATCCAATTTCTATGGACTTACACCTTGTACCCGACGATTAGCATTTTGATTGCGACTTTCTCCGAGCAATCTTTCGTTTGGCTTTGTTTCTCGTTTCGTCGGTTGATGCTCGACTTCGTTTCGTTCCCTCGTTTACTCTTCTACAAAGCACCAACCGCTCTTGTAATCTCTTATCGCAGACGCTACACGCACGCGTGTTCGCGATGATCAACGAGTTTTTCGAACGTTACCCCGTCGAAATAGCTGGGATTTTTGTTCGTGTCGTGGACGAATGCCCAGTGGAATCGCGTGTAATTCGCGTTGCACGAGTGCACGAGAAGAATTGGGGTCGCACGGAGTACATACGTACGCGGGACAAGGGGTGGTCGAACATATTTGCTTTAGAACCGTGCAATCACGTCGAGGGTGGTCCAAACCCACCAGACTGCGATCCGGATTAGCAAGATCATAATCAGCCAATCACTGACACGGCGTAGCAAGGTGTCAAATGTCGGCTCCTGTGGGACGTGGATTGATTTCCTTCGCTGGATTCGCCCTGACGGGGGTTGATTTCGCGATACCCGTGTACCATCGACATTCGAGTCTAATGGGATTCTACAGTTCGAAAGGGAAAGGATGTATTGGATTTGCTCGACTCCGCTTGAAGCTGTCAACGTTCGAGAGCGAGGAAGTTCGACCTTCTGAGCGTCAAGTCTGCGGAAACGGATACGGATGCGAGCCGCAAAGTGGCTCCGCGAATTACCATTATAGCGCCGTAATACCCAGCGTGCCGAGAGTTGCCGTGCATAAAGGAAACATCCGTGAGTCCACGAAACCTCCATTAGCGCGATCTTGTTTTACGAACGAGGAATGCCTACCAGCAAAAATCAGTATTCGTCTTGACTTCGACGACGAAGACGAATTACCGTAATGAGATCGATGAGGATCTACGCGATAATATTTCATCGTCGAAATCGTTGCCGTCGTTTGATTGCCACTTGGACGACACTGTACGAGATGCTATCGTGCGTCGAGATTGCGAGATGCCAAATATCAGACCATTGGTCATTGCCCGACCCACTTCGACAAATGTATCGGTACAACTATCAATTGTCACGATTTCATCGAGGTCGGCAGAGATTGTTCGGCTCAATCAGAGACAACGTAACCCGACCTCCAGCTGCTGTAACTTGCATCGAATCCAAGTACGCGCAACCGAAATAAAGGCAACATGGAAGGGGAAGAATTAATATTTCATCGTGCAAAAGCAACGCTCGATATTACGAATTGTTCCGGACGTTTTTTTTTTTCAGGGAAGATTGGAAGACTCCATCTCCAACATCTACATTCGTCTTTGATTTATTCCCGAACCATTTGCGCGCGTGCCGGTGGACGATCACGGTGGCTCGATGAAGCTTCAACGATATCGTTCCACCGCGAAAAGGGTGGTAGGTAGCGCGATGAAAATGGGATTGAAAACCACCAAACTAATCTCCTTCCGCCTGGCCGTGTAGTCGTAATATCCGCGCCCACGTTCAACCCACAGACACACGCGATCGTTCGCCAGCACGATTCTCTCCGTACTTTTCGACGCGAAAACGTTGAATGTTCGAATACACGCGCACAAAAACACATGGCAAGGAAAGAACATATATTAAATGCGTGTACATACTTGACGGTATGCGTGCTAGTCGCGCACCAAAGCGGCTGCCATTTAAATAAATGTTTAATCTCGCCCACCTCCGGCAACCGCCTCTGTTCCCAAGGTAATATCCTCTCTGTTTCGCCGAGTCTTTCGTTCGTTTCTTTTCCTCGCTGGTTCTCCGTGGGTCGCGATTCGCTCGCGAAAAGGCTGACTCGATGAAACGGAAAAAGAGACGACGGTTAGATAGGAGAATAGAAGGGAGAAGGAAGTCTACGGAGAAGTTAAAGGAGAAGAGAAAACAAGAGGGTCGAAAGAGCAAGAGGAGGGAAGCAGAGCTCGAGAGGCAAGTAAAAAACCAATCGAGTCTGTGCAGTGGCTGCGTGGTATCTTCCCTCTCTAACGTTCCACCCCCGTTTCCGCCCTGGACCGACCCCCGCAGCCATTTAACCTCTGCATTGCAAATGCCACCCCCTTTTTGCCACGGCCATCCGGTCGTATAAGGGTAGCCAGAGGGGTAAGAGAGGCTAACACTCACAGTCGAGCCGAGACTGTTATTTTAACGAAATATCTTTAAACGCCGACCGAGGAGAAAGAGAGAAATAGAGGACGAACCCCGCCAGTCAGCCCTGGAGGGAAGGTTCTGAACGCGAGGGGTGGTTGGAGAAGGAGGACGGTTAGCCTCGGACGAGCTCCGAGCTTCAGAGATGAAAGGA